GATGGGTACCTGACTCACTGAGTCCACCCAGCTCTGATCGGTACCTGACTCACTGAGTCCACCCAGCTCTGATTGGTACCTGACTCACTGAGTCCACCCAGCTCTGATGGGTACCTGACTCACGTCAAGCAGAATCAAGTCTGATGTCGCAGTGCTGACTATACCTTTACTTTTTACGGACAGGTCTGGAAGTCTACTATACTACCTCAACATAGTACTGCATTAGCCGAAGGATATGATTAAAAAGTCTTGTTTTTTTTTTTAATTGAGGCTAAAAAATGAAAAGAAAAATAAGATTAGGTTAAGGTTTTGGGATAGCTGTACCTATACTCGTGAAGTCGCACCAAGTCTTAGTAAACATTAATATCTTTCCATATCTACCCACTTAGCACATCCCCCTCCCATTAGTCTTTCACCACAGGCTCTTGCTTTAGACCCCCTCCAATTTCAGGTTGGCTTATAGGTTGCGGCTTTCTTTCTGTGATGGGTGTGTTAACCAGTGTTGCTGCCATCGTGTTGATCGCTTTCATTTTCTTCAACGCGCTAAAAGGTCGTCCACAACACTCAAAGATTCATATTTTCCTTATTGCAAGCACCACAATAGCAGGTAAGTCAGTAAGATACTTGTAAACTTAGTGGCAGATGCGTCATTGTGGTACTTTTAAAAAAAAACGACACAACGAGGGTTCTCTGTGCAAGAGGCGTTGTTAGAGGAAGGGTTGAGATTCTGGTTAGTGGCAAGGATAGGTTAAGTACTAGAGTCGGTCGAGCCTTAAAAATATTCGGATTACTTCCTGAAAATGTTTTAATAGGTATTATCAGCGCTTCAAATGTTGTGATAATATTGTAATATTTAAACGTGATAGGTAGGCACATTATAATTTTCTTAAGTGTTATTGATAGTATCACTCATTGATTTAAATCACATCAATATTTGCGAGAAAAAGCTATACTTGATTCATGTATATTACATTTCCATTTCAAGGATTTTAAAATACTTTTTGTGCTACGTTTGATTCAATTAAACCTTAGAAATTGAACTCGATATTTTTTTGTTATATTTACATAGTTTTTTTTTTAAATGACAGCTACTTTTATAATCATCTGTATCATCATATATGCAAGCAAAACGTGGAATACATCAAGTCTTGCGTATTCCTTCTACCTCTCCATTGTGGGCGGAGTTTTGATCAAAATAGGCGGGATAATCGGATTTATCATCAACAGACGGTTGAGTTACGGCCAAATGTAACCATACGATTTTTAATGTAATACTTTGCTGTATTCTTTCTAATTAATAAAATAAAATAAAACATCATAGTAATTATTTAGACCTAGCAGCTTTTTTTTTAAACTGTCATTAGTTCTCCTCCCCCTCTAATTTTTAAGATGGAGACTGGAAACTAAGCTAATGCTACATATTCATGTCTTATTGTGTTTGACCGCTAGATTTTCTATATATAACGTCTGTATAGTATTATGTAAGTGTGTAGGGATATGTGTATTTTACATAAAGATATCTGAAGATAATACACTAACAAAATAGATATCAAATGACAATTTATTCACAAGTTAAAAAACATTATATATATATATATATATATATATATATATATATATATATATATATATATATATATATATATATATATATATATATATATATATATATATATATATATATATATATATCTAATGAAAATCTTTTTGAATCGATATGTAAAGGCCAACGAGAATAGCCACTCATTATATTAAAATATTAAAAAATACTTGTATAGTTTGTCTGTTATTATGGGACTTCTGCAAAAATAAACAAATTTCACAGAATTCAATACTTGCTTAATACATATGGGAGTATGGTGACAAAAATAGCTCTTTTAAAAAATACGGACTTGAAAAACAATTTTGCCCACATTATAAACTTTAGTGAATTATTTGTAACTGTAATTACAGAGTAAAGGTGTTTAAACGTGGAAGATTAGCACACAAAAAACAACTACAGGTGTATTTACTGTATTGTTGGCTAATTAAAAAAAATTGAACCAAAGTCTTATATATCCAATTTTTTTTTCTGCTACTATTTGTATACTTAACTTTAAAGCACTTGTGATGAGTTATTATTTAAGTGCTGCGAATGGGCGTTAAATAATTTTACCTGAATGAAAAAAGCACAAGAAAAAAAAACTACTTAAGCGAAGGATATGAGAAAACAACTTACATTTACGAGAAGATAACATAGTTATTTTTGTTACCCCCGAAGTTCGTTCTATGACGTCAGAAGTTATAAAGAGGTTCCTACGTCTGAAGTTTTTATCGATATGTAGCTCATATAAGGCTACAGTCAGTCGAGGTAAGTTGTGACCCTCTCTTCGTGGATTTTGTGGCCGATTGGCATTTGGGCCTTGTGTTCTCTCGGCCCGAAGCGAGCGCCTCCAAAATTTGATGCGCCAGTTGCGCCGGAAGGGTACTCAATCCGGCATCCGACAACTTTGCTTTATACACACACACACACACACACATATATATATATATATATATATATATATATATATATATATATATATATATATATATATATATATATATATATATATATAAACTAACATTCGGCCTAGCTTCGGTTGGGTTTTCAACAAACATTTCATAATATGAATGACTAATTAATTAAAATTTAATTTGCTTTTATGTGGAATGCTTACGTTTAGTCAGTAATTTCATGTTAAATGAATAATCGCAAACTTATTACTCGCAAGGTAATTAAAACTACAGCGACTTCCTTTATAATATAACTCAAAGATTATATTCAATTAACGTTTGAAGTTAATTTCTACAATAGAATTAGGATAAATACCTTAATGTATAACTAAATTCTTACAAAAAAAAATCCCACGTAGGAACCCTATGAAAACTCTAGAGGATGTACATTTGCCCCAGGGGTTCAGAGAAAAAACGGGAATACCCTCGGTAAAACACCGGAACACTGTTTTAACTGAAGGGGTCGGCGTGGTCGAGTCGGTAAAGCTCATGGTTGCTAAACCGAAAAGTTTCGAGTTCGAACCCTCGGACAGATGAGGCTCGTTAGCTGGGGACAGCCACTCTTCTAGGAGAGACAACTCCAAAATCAAACAACTGCTGCCTTGTAGTTTGTTCTTGGTTGGTCAAAGGCTATGGAAGCAAATCCAAAAAGTAAAGCAGGCAGAAATCGAAGTCAATGGCCTCAATGGCGCATAACCAGTTGACACGTAATCCTTAATTGTGATGGAAGCATGGTCGAGTCGGCAAAGCTCATGGTTGAAAAATTCGAAAAAAATGTTCTCGAGTTCAAACCCTCTGGCAGATAAGTCTCGATTCCTCCCAACACTAAAAATTGAGAACGAATAAGAAGAAGAAAGAAGTTTTAACTGAGCAGAGGCCATGTTTCCTTATATAAACATTTTACTGGTTTTGTAAAAAAAAAAATACAAATATATCTGGACGTAAAAACTCAATCATAACTCCTTAGGTTATAGAATTACCCGCGGGGGTTACAAAAAATAAACGTTATCTTCGGGAAAACTTCCTAAGGGCTTTAGAAGTCGGAATTTGGTGAAAAAAGATAACTATTTTCAAAACAGTTTCGAGGGAACCATGGCTCTATACATCAGGCTCATTTTTTCCATAGACCGATATAAATGAATCGGCCTTATGCAAAAACTATCAGTCAGCATCTGCTCGTACATGCGAGGGCTAAAACGTGACCGAGATGAAATTCTCTATATATGAGCTATATATCGAAAAACAAATTCCCACATAAGATCACTTTGAAAACTCTCAAGTTTGTACAACGACCCTAGGAGTCAGAAAAAAGCGGTGATACCTACGGAAAAACCTCAGAAAAACTATTTTAACTGACGTACAAATCAAATCATAAATCTTGTGGTCGTAGAATTACTCGCGATGGTCACACAAAAGTAGGCGTTATCTTCGGGGAAAACTTAATTTGGTGAAATACGAGGACTATTTTCAAAACAATTTTATGGTACTTTGGCTCTGTAAATCTGGCTCATTTTTTTTCCATCGTCCTGAACAAATGAATTGGCCATACACCAAAGCTATCAGCCAGCCTCTACTCTCGCGGCGAGGGCTAAAATGTGACCACGAGTGAAATTCTGTTTAACTATAAGTCAATATTAATGAACAGCTCTGTAAAAATAAAAAAATCTACCAAAATATCCACTCCGTTTGTGAAAAGTAGGCCTACAACCTGAATGAACATATTTTTTTTTGCTAAGATCTGAACTTTGTAACATCGCTTGTATGCATCATACATTTTTTTAAACTGGTTAGGGGTCGGCGTGTTCGAGTTCTCGAGTTCGAACCCTCAAGGAGATGAGACTCAACAGCTGGGACCAGCGTCTCTTCTAGGTGAGACAACTACACAATAAAATAAAAAACGTCTGCCTTGTAGATTGTTCTTTTTTGGACAAAGCCTTTGGAAGCAAATAAAAAAAAAAGTAGGCTGAAATCGGAGTCAACGACACATATATTTAATTGTGTTGGGGGGGGGGGATCTTTTCAATCACCAAAAATTATGAACGCAGAAGAAGAAAAAACATAAATATATTATGCCCTCTCAGCTCACCATAACATAAATCATATCAGAGACACACACATAAGTTTCTATTAAAATATTCTCTAATACTATACTGTTGCTGTCATCAAAGTCAATAACAGAAAAGAAACTGAGAATTCAGCTGTGTTTCTTCACACTGTTAATCAAGCCAGCATCTGGAATGGTTTCATTTATGTCAAAGCTGGTCCTTGCCCCTCCCCTGTCTGCACATCTTAAATATCAGTACTCTAATTGCGGGGTGGGGTGCTCAAACATAACATTCTTAGCAATTGTGAAACCATATACTAGATTATCAGTATCTTTTTGAAACAATGGGACCTTGTTACGTAACACAGAGATACAGAAATGTGTTGCTTTCGTCATTGATTATATTATCTCTGATAGGACTTGATGACTCACAACAGTGGGAGTTGGCTGCTGAAATAAATTTTGTGACACCTATAAAATGAGAACGGTTTTTGATGATACTTTTTATTAACATTCACACGATTCAGGTAAAGGACGTCTTGTCTATCTAATTCGGTTTGAAATTATTTTAATCTTGACTAAGTTTGAACTAAGTATTATCTTTATTAAGATTGATCTAATTTTGTGCGACATGTTGTTTAGTAAGCGAACCTTTGACCACATGCTATTTTATCATAATAGAGGCTTGATTATAAGTGGTTTGTGAACAGCGTTTTTCCTTAGATGGTCTATGATTGCAATGTTTTTTTTTTTTACATTGAGCCTTTGATCAATAGTGCTTTGTCCATACAGTAAGATAAAATGTAAAAAAAAAGTGTGACAATATTTATGAATGACCCCTTAACCCATTGTTATCCTAAGGATAATGGGTGGTCTAGTAAAGTACTAAATATATACACATTTTTCGTGTTCTTTTGGAGTGCAATTGTTTTTAGTCATGCAATCCTATTAAATAATTATTTGAAATGTTTTTATTTTGATACTTTACTTTTTTTTTTAAATAGAATAGAATCGAGTAGAAAAAAAATATTTAGCACCAAATGAACGTCAATACTGTGTGCATAATTGAGCACAAAATTAGTACTTTATACAGAAACTATTTACATTTTTTAAAAAGGTAATTAATAATTTAATTAAGTCACATTGAATGTCAAAGTACATTGTCATCTACTCTTGACATTGTGTAAAGTTTGAATTAGTCCGGTTGAAGCTAGATTTTTTCATTAAAAAATACTCGAAATTTCAGGAAGATAAGCTATTATATCTTTTTTTAAGATTTTGTTCATCAAACTGAAACATAACTTACGTTACATGTTTTTATATGTTTTTATAGAAACGGAAATAAATTAAAGTACCACTTCTGGATTACGGAAGTCACTCACATTTAGAAATTGATCAAAGTATAAAAGCTTGTACATATATATGACATTTCGACTACCTAACTGAAACAGTATTCAAGCTATTTTATTCACAAATAAAATAGAGCAACGTGCCACTTCCTGTGACCGGGAATCAAACAAAAGTTAAAAGGAACCTTCGCATACATTTTAATACTAACATTCAAAATTTTGTCTACCTAGCATTAATGGTACTCGGGTTATCAGCGTATCTAACGTTGAAAGAAAACTAAAAAATTAAAGATGATACTTAGATATGGGATGCTAGGTTCACGGTATTTTTCTACTACTTTTTAAAAACATACCTGCATATTTACAGTGGGAATCTAGTTCCAATATGGGTCAGCTTTACGGCTTTATAGAGCTAGAGAGCTAATAAGTAAAATAGTATTAATCACATTCAATATTCATGTCCAATTGTATTTGTGTGTATTTGACTTTTATTGATTTATCTGTATTTATTCATATATATATATATATATATATATATATATATATATATATATATATATATATATATATATATATATATATATATATATATATACGTTTTATTCCTTTTCAGACAATCCTTTTAAAATGTCTCAAATCGAAGTCGCTGCTCTAGCTGGCGCTGCAGGTATCATAAGTATGGGGAGTCTACTGCATCTGGTTGGCATGGTAACGCCGAATTGGAAAGACGTTGGTGCAGGCACTATTGGACTATGGGAAATCTGTTTCTCGGGGGAATGTGAAACCATAGAGGACAAAGCAGGTAAAACAATCTTATTTCCATGTAGGCGACGTAGTAATTAATTTCAATTAAATCCTCATTTGAATGAGGATAGAAGCAGCTATAAAGATATAAATGATTAAATGGGATTATGCTGTCGAGTGGTAGATTTAAAATGATTTATAACCCAAAAGTATCAAATTCGGATATTGTGCTCAGGTTTGTATGAGTCTACTCTAGTGGGTACCTGACTCACGTCAAGCATGATCGTGTCTGATGGTACAGAGCCTGGTATGTCGGACTCCTAAATCCCCTACATTATAGCGTGGGGGAGGTGAGGTGCTAGACTGCCGGGAACCAAAAGGGGTCTGCTCTCGACCCTAACAAGATATTTTGACTTTAAGCTGCGGCCTTCACGAGGCTTCGGAAGAGTGCCATTAGTCGGACCAAACTCATGACCTCCCTAATGGGTGCGGAATGGCTAGTGGTAGCCAACAGCAGCTAGAAGCTTTTGATCTGTCCGAATGCCCCCCCACGATCAAGCTGGGTACCAGACGGTAGGACGACGTCCTGCGTCTGGTGGGTGGGGAAAGAAAGCCCGGTGAGAGCCGACGGAGATGCGACCGACGTGTAGCGATCTAACCGGCACTAAACGACTTACTACTACCACCATGTGTCGGAGTTTGCTACCCTGAGGCCTGTCTGGCTAATGGGAGTCAACCTCCTGAGCCGGTTTCCGTAAAGAGAGAGGGTACAGTGCTGACCATACCTTTACTTTTTACGGACAAGTCTAGAAGTCTACTATCCTAACGAAACACAGTACTGCATTAGCCGAAGGATATGATTAAAAAGTTTTTTTTTTTAAATTGAGGCTAAAAACATGAAAAGAAAAAAAAAATAGGTTTTGGTTTTGGGTTAGTTGTACAAGTAAACATGAATATCTTTCCATATCTACACCACAGGCTCTTACTTTAGACCCCCTCCAATTTCAGATTGGCTTATAGCATGCGATTTCCTTTCTGTGATGGGTGTGTTAACCAGTGTTGCTGCCATCGTGTTGATCGCTTTCATTTTCTTCAACGCGCTCAAAGGTCGTCCACAACACTCAAAGATTCATATTTTCCTTATTGCAAGCACCACAATAGCAGGTAAGTCAGTACGATACTTGTAAACTTAATTGCAGATACGTCTTTATGGTACTTTTAAAAACACAATATAACTATATCGAGTGTTCTCTGTGTAAGTGGCGTTGATAAAGAAAAGTTTGGGATTCTGGTTAGTGGCAAGGATAGGTTAAGTACTAGTGTCGGTCGAATTACTTCCATAAAAAGTTTAAATAGGTATCATTGGCGCTTTAAATGTTGTGTTAGATATCGTAATTGCCTTTAAAAGTTGTGATAGGTAGGCACATCATAATTGTCTTAAGTGTTATTGATAGTATCTCTCATTAATTTAAATCACATCTTTAATTTTTGTGAGAAAAGGCCATATTCGATTCATGTAAATTACAGTTCAATATAAGGATGCTAAAATACTTTTTATGCTACGTTTGATTTAATTTAATCCTAGCAATATAACTCTATATTCTTTTGTTATATTTACATAGTTGTTTTTCTTTTTAAATGACAGCTACATTTATCATCATATGTATCATCATATTTGCAAGCAAAACGGCACACACCTTGAAAATTAGGCAATCCTTCTACCTCTCCACTGCGGGCGGAGTTTTGATCAAAATAGGGGGGATAATCGGATTTATCATCAGCAGACGATTGAGTTGCGGCCCAAAGTAACCCAACGATTTTTAATGTATTACTGTGCTTATATTCTTTCTAATTCAATACAAATAAAACAAAACATCATAGTAAATATTTAGATCTACTAGCTTCATTTTTTAAAAATGTCCATAGTACTCCCCCAAAGAAATGTAACAAATTAATGTATTCTGGTGTTTAACCACTTGATACTGATTATACTATATGTATGTAAAGCAATAGATAAGTGTGTAGGGATATATATGTGTTTTACATAAAGATATCTGAAGATAATACACTAACAAAATAAATATGTAAAGACAGTTTATTCACAAGTTTAAAAAAACATTTATATATATATATATATATATATATATATATATATATATATATATGTATATATATATATATATATATATATATATATATATATATATATATATATATATATATATATATATATATATATATATATATATATATATATACATATATATATATATATATATATATATATATATATATATATATAGAGAGAGAGAGAGAGAGAGAGAGAGAGAGAGAGAGAGAGAGAGAGAGAGAGAGAGAGAGAGAGAGAGAGAGAAAGAGATGAGAGAAAAAGAGAGAGATAAAATCTTATCAAAATAAATGTATAGTCCCATGCGAATTCCCCATCATTATATTCAAAAAATTAATTTTATAGTTTGTCTATTATTAGGGGAGTCAAAACGAAAAAAACAGAAATTTCACACAATACTAAACTTGCTTGAAACATATTTGACTATGGTGCTAAAATATCTTTTAAAAATAAAATATAGACTTGAAAAACAATTTTGTCCACATTATAAACTTAAGTTTAGTGAATTATTTGTAACTGTAAATACAGCGTAAACGTTTTTATACTTGGAAAATTAGCAAAACACTATCAAAGTATTTACTGTGTATTGTTGGCAAATGTTTTAAAAATTAGACCAAAGCCTTTTATATCCATTTTTACATTCTTGTATACAGAGTCTAGGGGGGTATTGTAAAGTAAAGTTTCCCTTTGAAACCTGAAGTAGAGTTCACTTGTTTCTGTGACCTCGGCATATGAAGAGATAGTGTGGTCAGCACTATGCCCAGCCGCCTTTACTGTCCCTAACGTGAGATATGTACCCATCAGAGTTGGGTGGACTCAGGGACGGTTTACTGACTTGAACCCGGATTCGAACTCGAGATTTACGGGTTAACAGTCCAGTTCTCTACCGCTTGACCATTCCGTCCATAGGGGGAGGGTATTGTAATCGTGCACAAAAATCACATGATATTTCGATAGTTTTCATCGTTTTACACCACAGTACTTCATCATATACGGAGTATAAGGGACTTATTTTATTCTGGCAAAAATTAAAAAATGCAGATTTATCAAAATTTTGATGTTCTATGAGTAATCGAGTTGGAAAAACTGGGCTTTGCAATTCTGTTCGTATGTCTGTTTGTGTGTACAAATATTATATCTAATTTGTAGTTCAGTATAAACTTTTCAGCGATTTCCGATAACCGGAAGTGGGATTCTACTTTTAGTTTTTCAAAAGCCTAGATAAACGAAATTTCACGTATTAGTAAAAGATCTAATTTTCTGCCTTCTTTCAAATTTTGGGTGGTTTCTGTTGGCCGGAAGTAGTAATGTACGCTATTTCCGATTTCTCAAAACACGTTTATGAATGTATAAAATACTAATAATATTCCCAACTATTATACACAGATTGGTTGGCGTTCACTTGGTGCGCAATTTATTTTTCTACGAGATTATATTCTATTTAAAATGTTGATATTATTAAAAATTGATTAAAAATCATGTCTATATCCCGAGTTGCCATCACCCGTAGTGTTATATAAGAATACGCCGCTATCTAGCTGTTTTATTTTCTGCTTATCAGCTATTCATAATTTGTGAATTCGAAACAACGTCCCCCCCCTCCCGCGCCTCCGCCCAGTGAAAGCAGCCGTTTACAGATGACAGTGAAAAGATCAAATAGAAAATGTTACCTCCCCTTCGTTTCAAATCGTTTAAATTCTAAATTATCTGCCCCTAATAGCCGTCACTAATTCAACCCGGCTCTACGATTGTAAACATTCGTCGTGAACCAAAGCTCACCAGATTGATAATTGAAATTAATTGGTGATTGGCTGTCATGTGGAATGCTTAAGTTTAATCAGCAATTTCGTGTTAAATGAATAATCGCAAACTTATTACACGCAATGTAATTAGAACTACAGAAGCTTCCTAGAAAGTATAAAGTAAAGATTATATTCAATTATGTTTTAAGTTAATTTCTACAATTGAATAAGGATAAATAACTTAATGTATAACGAAATTCTTACCAAAAAATCCTTTAAAAATTCTAGAGGTTGTACATTGGCCTCAGGGGTCGAACAAAAAACGGTACTACCATCGGGAAAACACCGGAACATTGTTTTAACTGACCAAATGCCATATTTCCTTATATAAACATTTTACTGTTTTTGTAAAAAAAAATACAAATATATCTGGACTTAAAAACCCAATCCTAACTCCTGAGGGGTTTACAAATAAAATAGACGTTATCTTCGGGAAAACTTCGTAAGGGCTTTAGAAGTGACCGGTCCTTTTATAAATGAGCCCATTGTTGATGTTATTAGGTTATCCACCCCTTCCCCCACCCCCCTCCCGCCCATCACCTGAACTGGGACATCCCCGCCCTACCTAGACAAGTGCGGACTAGGTGTAATGCCGGTCGCCTAGTCTTTGACCTGGGATGCAAATTTGGGGAAACACGTATTCGAGGTTAAGCCAGGGCATAGACACCAAAGCTTGGTGGTGAGGGCCAGAAAGATAGGACAGTTGAACGTTAGACTTGTGAGGATGTAGTTGTGTTTTGTTTTTGTAAAGTGTGGTAGGGCTGGGCTTTAAGGCTGGCCACTATTGAGGTTCTAGATTACTATGTTATCCAAGACTAAAGTATCAACCATAAAATTTAAGAAGCTAAAATTGCGTTTGTGTTTTTCTTGAACCTCTCACTGCATTCATCATTACCAACCATACTAATGACGTCATAACAGAGGATAATTTCAACAAAGTCTTCAAGGTATTTATCGTCTGTATATCTGGCTAATTTTTAGCATGCACCTCGGTAAATGGCTAGGCCGTATGAAAACGACTACCCCTGATATTTTATGATGTCATAAAACGACCCTGGAGAATAACAAAAAATGTTTTGCAAGTCGGAAAAACCCCATAGGGCCGTTATTTTTGTCTAGATGTCGTATTTTCTTATATAAACATAGCAATTGTTTGTAAAAAAAAGACAAAGACTACGTCATTCGGTCTATATACAAGGGGAATCTTTCTAAAGTAATTATTTTTAAATTATTTTTATACTATTTTAAACAAAAACAGAAAATGACGAAATACAGCATTCGTGTAAGTAAGAATTTCGTTACATATTAAAGAATATATACCAATTAGATTGTATGGATTAACTTCAAAAGTTAATGTAATATAATCCTTGCTTTATACTATCTAGGTAGCCTCGGTCTGTAGATCTAATTACCTTGCGAGTAATACGTTTGCGAATATTCCACCAAGGGGTTTCTAACAAGAAATTACTGTTTAAACTTAAGCACGCCACATAATAGCCAATCACCAATTAATAGATCATTCAAATTCTCAATTTGTTTTTAAAACCTAACCGAGGCAAGGCAGATTGCCTAGTATATTAGATCATATCAAGAACAAATCAGCACATAACTATATGCCAATATTAATTAACAGCTCTGTAAACATAAAAACAGGCACCAAATCATCTACCCTGACAAGTAGGCCTACACCCTGAATGAACATATTTTTTGCGAAGATCTGAACTTTGTAACATCGCTTGTAAGTATCATACACTTTTTGACACTGGTTATGGGTCGGCGTGTTCGTGTTCTCGAGTTCGAACCCTCGGGCAGATGAGGTTTGACAGCTGGAGACAGCAACTCAAAATTGAAAAAAAAACCTGCTGCCTTGTAGATTTTTCTTGGTTGCACAAAGGCTATGGAAGCAAATCCAAAAAAGAAAAGCAGGCTGAAATCGGAGTCAACGACACGTATATTTTTTAAGGGGGGGGGGGGGGATCTGTTTCAACATTAAAATTATGACCACAGAAGAAGAAGATCATTATATACCGAAGTCCCCTGGCTGCTGCCCTCTCAATCCAACCTAACATAAATCATATCAGAGACGCACACATAAGTTTATATTAAAATATTCTCTAATACTGTTGCTGTCATCAAAGTCAATTACAAAAAGAAACTGAGAATTCAACTGTGGTTCTCCACACAGTTAATCAAGCCAGCATCTGGAATGGTTTCATTTACGTCACAGCTGGTCCTTGTCCCTCCCCTGTCGGCACAACTTAAATATCAATACTCTAATTGCGGGGTGGGGCGCTCAGGTCAAACATTCCTAGCAATTGTGAAACCACTCACTAGATTATCAGTATCTTTTTGAAACAATGGGTCCTTGTTACTTAACACACAGATACACAAATGTGTTGCATCTCGTTATTGATTATTTTATCTCTGATAGAAAGTTTCTGAGACCTATAAAATGAGATCGGCTTTTGATGGATAATTGTTATTGACATTCACACAATTCAGGTAAGGGACGTCTTGTCCATCTAAGTTTGTTCTTGATTTGGTTTGATTGTACTTTGATCTTGACTAAGTTTGAACTAATTATTATCTTTTTTAAACTTGATCTAATTTTGTACTATATTTGGCTTGGTACGCGGATCTTCGACCACAGGTGTTTTTGACCATAGGTGCTTTGACTATAGGTGGTTTGACCACACCGGGACTTTGACCACATGTATTTTGTATTTAGATGGACTATGATCACGTGGTTTTTTTACATTGGTCCTTTGATCAAAGGTGCTTTGTCCATACAGTAAAATAAAAATAGTCAAACAAGTGTTACGTCATTTATGAATGACCGCTAAACCCGCTGTTCTCCGAAGGATAACGGGTTGTTTAGTATAATTATTAATTATATACATATGTTTCGTGTTCATTAGAAGTGCAATTGTTTTAAGTCATGCAATCCCATTAAATAATTAATAAAAGTAAAGTGGGAGGATAATGGGTGGTCTAGTAAACTACTAATTATATGCACATTTTACCTGTTCATTAGGAGTGCAATAATCTTAGTCATGCAATCCCATTAAATAACTATTGAAAATAAAGTGGGAGTGATTTCCCTTTAATGTACTTGTATATTTCTTTTTGAACAGCAATGGAGATGACACTTTCAGTGCAATCTGGTTAAAGAAATGTTTTATTGATATTTTGATACTTTATTTTTATTTTTTAAATAGAATAAATAGAAAGAAACATATTTTGCACTAAGTGAACGTCAGAGTGTGCTAAATTGAGCTGAAAATTAGTACTTTATACATAAATTTTAAGTAAAGTTTAAGAAGTTAATTAATAATTTAATTAAGTCCGTTTAATTCTCAAAGTAGGCCTCATCGAATCTCGAATTATGTGTAAAGTTAAGATGAATCAGTTCGGTAGAAGTTATATTTTTTGAGAAAACGAAAAAACCGTAGTATTTCATCCGGTCACAAAAAATTACACACAATTTAAGATCTTATACCCATTTATAAAATGTCGTTCATCTAACTGAAACTCTACTTATGTTATCTGTATTTTAGAAACCAGAAATAGAGTTAAGTACCACTTCCGGACTACGGAGGTCACTCAAAATTAGAACCTTATACAAATATAAGATTGTGTAGGCTTTCTTATGAAATATCGTCTACTTTACTGAAACAGTATTCAAGTTATTTTGTTCCCATATCAAACTGGCATTATGGCCAAACTAAGTTTTTCTGACTCAGAAAAGTTATAAAAAGTTAAAATATGTGAAAATCTCGTTTTACATTTTTGCACGATTGCATGCATCCTTTATGTTCCGTATTTTATTCTTTTCTTGTTTTTTCGTGCATAATTAGTATACAAAAAACTTGTTATTAAAACGTTTTGCATTAATTTTTTCTAAGAACATTCTTAACTGAAATAGTTAACTTAAATTGACATCGTTCCTATTAGTTTTTTTTTTCTGTAAGACAAATTTGATTTTCGTGATCTACGAAGAAAGGGGGGGGGGGTTTGTTTTGAACACACCCCTCGGCCTACTTCACTGGACTCGGAAAAAAATCAGAATTCAGAACATGCATGGGTTTCTATATAGTGCTTAGATTAGGAGTCGCTCCACCCCACCCCCTAACACACACATACAACATAGATGCTGGGTACATTGTATTTTTCTACCACTTTTTATAAACGTATATGCACGTTTACAGTGTGACACAAGTTACGCGTGGCTCAGATTAACAGAGGTAATAAGTAAACTAGTATTAATCACATTCAATATATACGCAAAATTGTATTTGTTTATATTTGGCTTTTATTGATGTACCTGTATTTAGTCTTATATATATATATATATATATATATATATATATATATATATATATATATATATATATATATATATATATGCATTTTATTATTTTGTTTTCAGACAATCCTTTTAAAATGACTCAAATCGCTGCTCTAGCTGGAGCCGCAGGCTTCATAGGTCTGGGGAGTCTACTGCATCTGGTTGGCATGGCAACACCACATTGGTGGAATATTGGTTCGGGTAGTATTGGACTATGGCAAGTCTGTGAGGGCAATTGTTTAACCATAGAAGACAAAGCAGGTAAAAAAAATGGTACCTTTCTTGCAGAAAATAAAAGCTCATTTTCATCCAGAAAAAGTAGTAGCTAATTTTAATTAAATAATTTAAAAAATATATATAATAAGATCAGCTGTAAAGATATTAACGGTTAAATGGGATTATGCGGTCGCGTGGTAGATCTAAGGATTTATAACCTAAAAGTGTCGAGTTCGGATCTTGTGCTTAGATTTCTAATAGTCTACTCTGATGTGTACTTGCCTCACGTCATGGGTAATCAAGACTGAGTGTATGTTCTGACCATACTTTTACTGATACGGACAGGTCTGGAAGTCTACTATACTATTATAACATAGTACTATATTAACCTAAAGGAAATGTTTAAAAAATGATTGTTCAGGTTAAGGTTATAAAGAATTACTAAAAAATAAAGTTTGTGTTTAGGTTTTGAATATTTAAACTCGCAAAGTTTACTCGCACCACGTAAATATCCATAATCATCCATATCCACCCACTTAGCCCTATCCCCTCCCATTAGTCCTTCACAACTAGCTCTAACTTTAGACCCCTTCCAATTTCAGGCTGGCTTATAGGATGCGATTTCCTTTCTGTGATGGGTGTGTTAAGCAGTGTTGCTGCCCTCGTGCTGATAGCTTTCATTTTCTTCAACGCGTTCAAAGGTCGTCCACTACACTCAAAGATTCCTATTTTCCTTATTGCAAGCACCATCTGTGCAGGTAACTCAGTACGATACTTGTAAACTTAGTGGCAGGTAAGTCATTGTGGTACTTTAAAAAAAAACACGACACAACTATATTGAGGGTTCTCTGTGTAAGTGGCGTTGTTGAAAAAAAACACTATATTTTTGCAAATCTCGACGTTTTACGCCTCCCTGAGTCGGAAAAACATAATTTTGCAATCTCGTCAGTATGTCTGTGTATGTGTGTGTGTGTGTGTGTGTGTATGTGAACACGATAACTTGAGTACCGTTAAAGCTTGGTTGATGAAATTTTATATATAAGTACTATATCAAATTTATAGTTCTGTATTAACTTTTCAGCTATTTCCGGTAACCGAAAGTGGAACTTAATCTACTTTCAATTTTTCAAAAGCCTGCAACTTGAGTACTGTTTCAGATAGACTAATGAAATTTCACATATAAGTAAAAAAATCAACTTTTCTGCCTTCTGTCAAAGTAATTTACGCGTTTTCCGATTTCTCAAAAAACTCATTTGAATTTATAAAGTACTGATAATACTCCGCCTTATTATACACAGATTGTTTGGCGTTCACTTGGTGCGTAATTCTTTTTTTTTCTCTAAGATTCTATTCTATTTTAAAAAGTAAATAAAAATGGATTTAAAATATTGTCTATATCCCGAGGTGCCATCTCCCGTCGTGTTATATAAGAATACTAGCCGTCCCGGCCAGGCCCTGCTCTGGCTTCTGTGAAAAACCTTTCTGTTAAAGACCATTACCTGTGTGTTTAGTAATCATCATAAACCCGGCATTGCCCACCCAAACCACAACCAACCAAAACCAAAACAACAAAACGCAAACATAACACAATTACAAATACAAACGAAAACAAAAACCTAACAACAAACCCAACCACAACCACAAACACAAATACCAACCAATAACAACACAAAAAAAAACGAAAAAGCAAACGAAAACAAACCAAATCCAAACGCAAAACCAACCAAAAACACAAATACAAACCCAAAGAAAAAACACAAACAAAAACGAAAAAAGAAAGAACAAAAACGAACCAAATCAAACCGCAACCAACTGACGCAAACCCAACCTAAACACAAAGAAAACACTAACGCGAACATAAGCGCAGAGTGCTCACAGTCTAGCCCGGGGCGGAATCGCCTGTTTTAGCTTATTAAACGACTATAGTACCCCAACTTATTCATAGTCTTTTGCACTCACTTAAACGAACGCGCCTGTTTCAATTTAATGAACAATTATAATACTCCAAGCTTATCCGTAAAATACCTACAACATTTGCACTTGATCAATCCCCGCTAATTATGTAATTATTTTTTTTCCCAACACCAAAACAAAGTAATTGAAAAGTAAATTCTTTTCCATTAATGCAATGGTTTTATAATGGGAAGTAATTGCGTTTTCCTAATTTATCAAAGGGAAGTAAGTGCTATAGGACTAAATAAAGACATAATTAGAATTTTTGTAATAGATGATATTTTGTTAAAACTTGTGTTTAATAAACATGCCGAAAATTACTACTTTCAGTTTGATAAATGAAAATTATTTCCCAAAACTTTCAATATTAATTTTTTAACTCATAAATTTAGACCATAAGGATTTTAATTATCTAACACTTAAATCCATAGACAAACAAACTTATTACATACAGAATTGAGCTTTACATATTAGAAGAATATTCAAGAAAGTTTAGGGGCGATCACTCCCTGTTCATTTTTCAAGTAATAAACTCAAAATAGCCACGTAAGGTTGGAAATTTAAATAACAGCGCATGTAGGATGTGCTCACATAGTCAGGTATGTAGAGATCACGAGAAAAGAGGGAGAAGTGGTTTGTTACGAAACACGTGTAGCGAGAAGTGTCCTTAAGGTTGAGTAAAAGGGATCTACGACAAATTCCCGAAAGACACTTGCCCGAATGCCGTTTGCCCGAAGGCCGATTTCCCGAATGGACACTTGCCCGAATGCGACAAATGCCCGAATGCGACAAACGCCCGAATGGACACTTGCCCGAACGCGACAAACGCCCGAATGGACACTTGCCCGAATGCGACAAATGCATTTAACATTTACTTTTCTAGACAATTTCCAGACTTTGCACGAATCCTTACCGCGCCAACTTTTTTTGTGGACGTCAGAAATGGATGACCCCATATCGTAATTGGCTTCAGTGTTATTGATAGTATCACCATTAACTTATAGCAATCGTTGTAGTTGTGTCCAATGCAAAATGGGAAGATTGTTACACTGTGAGCCAATCGATTTCAATCACCTCTTCGATTTTTGTGAGAAAAAGCTATATCTAATTTATGTAAAGCTAAAAAATAAATTGCATTTCAATTTTACGGACGCTAAAATACTTTTAATGATAAATTTGATTTAATTTAATCTTAGAAATGGAACCCTATATTATTTTGTTATATTTACATAGTTTTTTTTCTTTTAAAATGGCAGCTACGTTTATCATCATCTGTATCATCATATTTGCAAGCCAAACGCCAAACGCAAAAAGACTTGCGTATTCCTTCTACCTCTCTATTGTGGGCGGAGTTTTGATCAAAATAGGTGGAATAATCGGATTTATCAGCAGCAGACGATTGAGTTAAGGTCCAAAGAAACCAGACGATTTTTTAAGTGTTATACTTTGCTCAATTGTTTGTAATTATTTGCAAATAAAATAAAACATCTTTGTTAATATTTAGATCTAGCAGTTTCATGGGTTTTTTTTTATTTCAACGAAATGGTGAAAGCACTCCTCTTCTTCTCCTGTTTAAGATGTAGAGTTGAGACGAAGCTAATGTATCAAATGCAAGTATTCTTGATACACATTTTACTATTTTTAAGGTGTGTATAGTGATAGATAAGTGTGTAGGGATATGTGAGTGTTACATAAAGATATCTGAAGATACCACACTAACAACATAGATATGTAAATCCAAAATTGATGTGGAAAGACACTTTATTCACAAGTTTAAAAAAACACCTTTTGCATATATGTATATATATATATATATATATATATATATATATATATATATAGATATATAGATATAGATATATATATATATATATATATATATATATATATATATATATATATATATATAGGGGAATTAAGGGACTTAAGTGCAATACAAAACTTCAAAGAATACAATATTTGCTTAATATATATTGTGTGGTGATGTAATGTGTATGAAAGGTGTATACGTGGGACGGATCACTGCGTGTGTGTATGTATTCTGTAACCAGACGCGAGTTGTTGACGAGGATACAAGGGAAGTGACTGGTCAAGTGACAGCGGTTTTGTGTTGTGTTGTGAGCGAGAAAAAGGAGGTGTGCGGGGATGAATGCGGAAGGGCAGTTGAAAACCTGGGTGAAAAGTTAGTTGCCTATCTGCTAAGAGTTTTTGTTGGTGTGTCCATATACCTTGTTATACGATATCTTTGGCGCCCTCACATTTTGGTGGGGCTGCGAAAAAGGTTTTACTTACATAATGAAGATTCGTATGGAAAAAAATTCCACAACAGACTACCACCCAAAGCTGAGGACTTCAAAAACTACGTGCTAAAGTGGAGATGAAAGTAGAAAACATAATTGAATTCATATTGATCGATCAGTAGTACTGTCTTAAACATAATTTTTTAAAAGTTTAGTTTAAGCAAGCCATTGGTACACGTTACACATGGATCATATGCCTATTTTGTTTAAATGTTATACTTGTTTGAGAAGAATATTTTATAAAATAGTTATTGGTTTTAAAATGTAATGCTTTACAACACGTTGAACCGTATAAGTGGTAAATAGCTAAAATCCAACACAGTTAACAGTGGCGTAGCTAGGATTTTCGGGCCCCCATGCAAAAATAGTATTGGGCCCCTAAGTTAATCTGTAACTTGTGTATTTTATACGTCCATAGATGTGTATTTATACGGTAAAATACCTTTGATTTTATATCATTTTTTTGAAAAAAGAAACTAACAAATTAACAGTAAGCCTGTAACCTTTAAGTAACCTAACACAGTAGCTTCAAGAGGCGGGGGCCTTACAATTTAGGCGTGACACCATGACGAAAACTCGTAAAATGTACCATCAAAACTATGTTTTATTCAGTTAAAATAATAAAATATTAAGGAGAGGGTGTAACAACCCACTGGAAATGCAAAAATGTTAGACGGGGTGGGAGTGACACTCACTAAACGCACCAGGCGATATCGAACCTTGTGACGCCACTAACCAAATACAAATTTTAAAACGTTGCTCATGTTTTTTTTTCTTTTTTTTTCTTTTTTTCTTTCTTATAAGTTTGCAAAGTGATTAATATTCTCATTGAAGTCTATTTTAGCTGCTTCTGTATGTTTAATACTTAGGATAGCCAAGTTACTGACCCAAAGGGCATATTTACAACTTGTTTCATAACATCATCATAATGGAGAGACTTGTGACGCACAACTATATTACTGCCAAGGCGGCTGGATAACACACCTAATTTTCTTTAACTATTGATTATAGCAGACCTCAGTATTGCTAGGGCATGACTCTCATTAGAATAAGTTTATGCGCTGTAGTACTCACGGAAGGAGCCCAGGGCGCCGGCTGATGCACATGTGCAGGTTGACTGTTGAAATAAGCAGTAGCCCTGACCCCTTGTGCAGGACATCCAATTAACTGACCCCGTGTGCTAAGAAAGCCTCTCCGAACGAAATAAAAAAGATATTTAATGGCAGAAAACTTTGCAGGAGTTTCTTTCTGGCTTCTCTTCGAGGGGAGAGGCACTGCTCTTCAAGTGTGGGGTTGTGGTAGGAAATTTCACGGTCAGTAGAGGTTTATCTGAATTATTCTAAACGACTTCCCAATGTTTCTTGGCGATTGGATCATTTTCGTATTGATGCATAAATAACAAGGAAACAAACAAAAATCTTTAAATAGTGGCATATTGATTAGAGATAAATTAGATCAACAAGCGAATTGTGATTAAGGTTAAAACTAGAAAAACATTGACACAGTTATGACGTAGCTTATTGTGAAAACACTGTCAAAGTTTGTTATTAAAATCAATGCGCAATTGTAATCATGGATGGATGGAATTTCACTGAGGACACTGAGGACAGACAGTTTAGAGGGGAGGGGGTGCAGGTTTGTGGCGGTGGGGTAGAGAGTTTTTAGTGATGCGTATAAATTTGCGGGTGCCGGATTCCAATCTCACAAAATAGTCAATGTTCATGTTTGTTTATATACTAATTCGCTTAACGGCTTGCCCGACAATGCATTAATGCCTATTATTAATACCGATGGGCCTTGTACAACCCCCGCAACCCCCCCCCCCCCCCCAGTAAGAAAGGTTTGGGGGCCATTTTATTTTTTAACCACTTCTACAGTAGAAAAGAAACTGGATTTCCGTTTTCTTTTTAAAAAAAATTTTATAATACAAATATTAAAATTCCAATGTAAAAGTTATTAAAAATGTAAAGAGGGAAAAGGGTCCCTAATTACCTTGGGCCCCTATGTCATGCTTACGCTAGCTTTTCGGTAGCTACGCCACTGACAATTAATATAACATAGACTACCAATGCCTATAAGAAAAATTAAAACCAAATTATATATATTATTATTCAACATGTTACATGCCCACGTTGATTATGTGATTTAAATGTTTCTGTTAAACCCCAGCTTCTCAGTGGTATTTTTTTTTCAATATTTTTTTTTACCTTTTTTGCCGAGGAAATAGTATACATTTCATAGCATACGTCTTCATCAACAGATCTATAGATCTAAATCAAATTTGAATGAAATAGTTCATTTTTTCCTTATTCTAAAATTGGAAGATGACATCATTAGTATTGTGTATCATTTTCGACATTTGATTTTCAATTCTAATTTTACTTTCTCGTATACAGAGTATATTTTGTATGGTTTGTATGAGTCTACTCTGATTGATGTCAGAGAAACGCGCCATATCTGGGGAAAATCTGTACAGCAGATAAAACTGACCAGTCGCATTTCTCTATATAATCATTGTAATTTATGTGAAAAACAAAGAATAATTTCAACAAAGATTCTAAGGTATTTACCGTTTGTACATATGGCTAGTTTTTTGCATGCACCTCGGTAAATGGCTACGACCACAACCGATATTTTGTTATGTCATAGAATGACCCTGGAGGGTAACAAAAAACGTGTTGCATGTAGAAAAATAACAACATAGGGCCGTTAGATTTAGTCTAGATGCCATACATTTCTTATATAAGCATAGCAGATGTTTGCATTAGCATTTTGCTAAGATTTAAACTCTGAAATATCGCTTGTATGTACCATACACATTTGACACTGGTTAGGGGTCGCCGTGTTCGAGTTCTCGAGTTCGAACCCTCGGGCAGAAGAGGCTCGATAGCTTGGGACAGCAACTTTTCTAGGAGAGACAACTCCAAGATAAAATAAAAACTGCTGCCTTGTAGATTGATCTTGGCTGGACAAAGTCTATGGAAGCAAATCCTTAAAAGAAAAGCAGGCTGAAACTGGAGTCAACGAAACGTATAGGTACTTAATTGTGTTGTGGGTAATCTCTTCCAACATTTAAGTTAAAAACGCAGAGGAAGAAGATCATTACAAAACGAAGTCCCCTGCCTGCTGCCCTATCAGCCCAACCTAACAAAAATCATATCAGAGACGCACAAACACACATAAACTTAAATTAAAATATTCTTTGCTGTCAGCAAAGTCAATAACAGAAAAGAAACTGATAATTTAGCTGTGTTTCTCCACAGGGTTAATCAAGCCAGCACCTGGAATGGTTTCATGTACGTCACAGCTGGTCCTTGTCCCTCCTCTGTCGGCATATCTTAAATATAAATACTCTAATTGCGGGGTGGGGCGCTCAGGCCCAAACATTCCAAGCGATTGTGAAACCATATACTAGATTATAAAATCAGTAGCTTTATGAAACAATGTGACGTTATTACGTAACGGAACGATAAAGAAATTTCGTCAATCAGTATTTTATCTCTGATAGGTCTCGATGACTCACGATAGTAGGAGTGTCTTCTGAAACGAACTTTGTGAGACGTATGAAATGAGAACAGTTTTTGATGATCATTGTTATTGACATTCACACGATTCAGGTAATGGACGTCTTATCGATCTAATTGTGTTCTTGATTCGGTTTGATTGTACTTTGATCTTGACTAAGTTTGAACTAATTATTATCTTAATTAAGATTGATCTACGTTTGTACTATATTTTGTTTGGTAAGTGGATCTTCGAACAACGATCTTTGACCATAGGTCTTTGACAACAGTTTTTTTTTTTTTTTACATTGGGCCTTTGATCAAAGGTGCTTTGTCCAAACAGTAGGATAAAAATAGTCAAACAAGTGTGACGTCGTTTATGAAAGACATCCCCTAAACCCACTGTTATCCGAAGAATAATTGGTGGTCTAGTAAACTACTAATTATATGCACATTTTACGTGTTCACTAGGAGTGCTATTGCTCTTAGTCATGCAATCCCATTAAATAATTATTGAAAATAAAGTGGGATAGATTTCTCTTAATTGTACTTGTATATTCCTTTTTGAAAAGTAATGGAGATGACACTTTCAGTGCAATCTGGCTAAAGAAATGTTGTTATTAATTTTTTTGATACTTTATTGTTTTTTAAATCGAATATAATCGAGTAGAAACAAAATATTTTGAACCAAATGAACATAATTAAGCTGAAAATTAGTACTTTAATACAGAAAATTTTATCAATTTTAAAAAGATAACTAATATTGATAATAATCTAATTAACTCCCATTAATTGACGAAGTACATCGTCATCGAAGCTTGATCTATAGGTAAAGTTTGAAATGAATCAGTCCAGCAGAAGCTATATTTTTTTGAGAAAACGAAAAAACCGTAGTATTTCATCCGGCCACAGAAAATTACTCAAAATTTAAAGATATTACTAGACTACCCGTTATCTAGTTAGATAACTGTGGGTTTTGGGGGGTCATCCATAAATGACATCACGTCTGCCAGTACTTATCATCCCAAAATAACCAGACCCCACATTCAAAAAGACGTTTTTTATATTTTAAAACTCTACTAAACTCTACTTTATTTGCACAGTGCCCCGCCAAGTCTCAGGCATGTTTGTATTTTTAAAAAAAAACGATTCCGGCCGAGCATGGCTCTGACCACACTATCCCTTCATATGCTGAGAACATAGAAACAGGTGAACTCTACTTCACCTGCCCTATGCCCGCGAGGTCCTGATAGTCAACCTTATCATTCACATATAGAGCTTTTTTTCTTTTTTTTTTTTTTTAAATAATTGAAAACATTGTTGTGAAAAGAAAATAAATCATTTACTATTACTAAAGTCATTGTTCTAAACTTTTATAATCAATATGGTTAATCTACCAATGAATATATCAATAAATTAATTAACGGCTTTAAATTATTTTAACAGTGTGTTTAAGAAAGAACAATATTTACCACCCAAAATCCTATTTTACAGCTCTACATATAATGCAGATTCTCCCCAAAAAAAATTTAAAAAAAAAAATGAGTTATCAAACGTCACTATTCAGTCAAAGTTAAGCCATTGTTCTAAAACTTTAAAATTAATGTGGTTAATCTACCTATGAATAAATCAATAAATTAATTAACGTCTTTAAATAAATGTGTGATTAACAGTCTGTCTGCAATCAAAAATTGTTCTCCACCTACATACTATTTTACAGCCCCCCATATAGAGCAGTTTCCTTACAGTACCAAATCAGACAAACATATAAATATTCAAACATGTAAACAAACTTGAGTTTTAGTAGTATATAGATACCTTTTTATAAATTTCGTTCATCTAACTGAAACGGTATTTATTTTATCTGTATTTTAGAAACCGGAAATAGAGTAAAGTACCACTTCTGATTTACTGAGGTCACTCAAAATTACAAAGTGATTAAAGTACTTGTACTTGTATTTGAAATTTCGTCTACTTAACTGAAACAGTATTCAAGAAGAGAGAAACGTGCAACTTACTGTTACCTGAAATTGTACAAAAGTTAAAAGGAACCTTTGCATACATTTTATTGCTTCTATTTTGAATTCAGTGTACCTAGCATTAATGGTACTCCAGTTATCAGCTTATCAAACGTTGATAAATAACTAAAAATATCTTTTAAAACATATAGGCTCTATGAGCTTTGGTCTACATAACTTAAACGATACTCAAGATTATCTTGTTTAAACACACGCACACACAGACACACACACATACACAAACGGGCATGAAAGCCAAACTAAGTTTTTACGCACCGGAAGGTTATAAAACGACAAATTTTGTCAAAATCTCGTTTTATATTTGAATTTGAGCACGATTACATGCATCCTTTAAATTCCGTACATGATTTTGTGGGTAGGTGTAAAACTGCGAAAACTATTCAAATTTAATTTCATTTTTCTGCACAATTACACTGAAAAGTTCATAAAACGATTTTAATGATTTTATTTTTTTTTCCTTCATAATTATAAAATTTCATAAAAAAACGTTTTAATAACAAACTTTTGTGTAATAATGCACTAAAAAATGAGAAAATAAAATATACACTAGTATTTAAATAACTATAAAGAAAAGCGTGATTTACTTTAGTATCTCTTGGATATCTTTACTAATATTTACGAAGAGACCCACGCTTTTCTTTATAATTATTTAAATAGTACCCAGTGTATAATTTATTTTCTCCTTTTTTGTGCATTATTACATATAAGCTTGTTATTAAAAAGTTTTTATTAATTTTTTAAAGTACTTTACATGTTTTTATTTACAATAGAGTTACATGACTAAAACCATTGCACACCTATTGAACGTGGTGACGCGTGTGGGGTAGTTGGATAGGACTGATACTAAATTGGTCACATTTTTAAATTAATTCATAAAAAATTAATCAGGCGACAAATTAAGTCAAATTTAATGTCATGATGCATTGTCTTCATGTCTTGACCCACGTACCAATCACGAACCGTATCTGTCAGTTAGAAGTGCCTGCAATTTCGCTCGGCCGATTCGATCTAGACTGAAGACAGACTGACGACAGATTGACGAGGAAGTGAGTTAAAGAAAAGCTTGTAATAAAAGCTTGTTATTACAACGTGTTGCATTGATCTTTTAAAGAACATTCTGAACTAAAAGAACTTCGTTGCTAGTACTAGTAGTTGAGTTTTGTCAGACAAATTTGATTTTAGTAATCTTCAAGGGGAGGAGGGGGTGTTCGTTTTGAACACAACCTTCGGCCTACTTCACTGGGCCAAATATCAAGAAAAACTCAGAGTTTAGGCCATGCGTGAGTTTCGATGTAGAGTTATGCCTATATAATGCTTAGATTAGGAGTCGCCCGCCCGCCCCCTCCCGCCAACACGCACATACAACATGGATGCTGGGTCCAGTGTATTTTTCTAACACTTTCTATAAACGTATATGCACGTTTACAGTGTGACTCTAGTTACAATATGGCTCAGCGTTACAGAGCTAGTAAGTAAACTAGTATTAATCACTTTCAATATTTACACGCAATTGTATTTGTTTGTATTTGGCTTTTTTATGTATCTGTATTTAGTCTTACTTATATATATATACTAGTCGTCCCGGCCAGGCCCTGCTCTGGCTTCTGTGAAAAACCTTTCTGTTAAAGACCATTACCTGTGTGTTTAGTAATCATCATAAACCCGGCATTGCCCACCCAAACCACAACCAACCAAAACAACAAAACGCAAACATAACGCTAACACAATTACAAATACAAACGAAAACAAAAACCTAACAACAAACCCAACCACAACCACAAACACCAATACAAACACAAAGAAAAAACAAACAAAAAAGCAAACGAAAACAAAAACCTAACAACAAACCCAACCACAAACACCAATACCAACAACAACAAAAAAAAACAACGAAAAAGCAAACGAAAACAAACCAAATCCAAACGCAAAACCAACCAAAAACACAAATACAAACCCAAACAAAAAAAAACACAAACAAAAACGAAAAAAGAAAGAACAAAAACGAACCAAATCAAAACGCAACCACTAACGCAAAACCACCTAAACACAAAGAAAACACTAACGCGGGGCGGAATCACCTGTTTTAGCTTAATGAACGACTATAGTACCCCAACTTATTCATAGTCTTTTGCACTCACTTAAACGAACGCGCCTGTTTCAATTTGATGAACAATTATAATACTCCAAGTTTATCCGTAAAATACCTACAACATTTGCACTTGATCAATCCCCGCTAATTATGTAATTATTTTTTTTCCCAACACCAAAACAAAGTAATTAAAAAGTAAATTCTTTTACACAAAATGCAATGGTTTTATAAAGGGAAGTAATTGTGTTTTCCTAATTTATCAAAGGGAAGTAAGTGCTATAGGACTAAATAAAGACATAATTAGAATTTTTGTAAAAGATGATATTTTTTTAAAACTTGTGTTTAATGAACATGCCGACAATTATTACTATAATTTGAAAAATGAAAATTATTTCCCAACACTTTCAATAGTAATTTTTTAACTCATAAATTTAGACAAATGCGCACGATAATTGTCTAACACTTAAATCCATCCAAGACCAACGACAAACATATGCGTTACATACAGAACTGAGCTTTATATTTTATATATATATATATATATATATATATATATATATATATATATATATATATATATATATATATATATATATATATATATATGCATTTTATTATTTTGTTTTCAGACAATCCTTTTAAAATGACTCAAATCGCTGCTCTAGCTGGAGCCGCAGGTATCATAGGTCTGGGGAGTCTACTGCATCTGGTTGGCATGGCAACACCACATTGGTTGAAGTTGAATGATCCGGGTAGTATTGGACTATGGCAAGTCTGTATACAATTCTGTTTAACCATAGAAGACAAAGCAGGTAAAAACATGGTTTCTTTCTTGCAGAAAATAACATTTCATTTCCATCCAGAAAACGAAGTAGCTAATTTCTATTAAATAATTTTGAATAGAGAAGAGAATCAGCTATAAAAATATTAACGATTATGCGGTCGCGTGGTAGAGCTAAGGATTTATAACCCCAAAGTCTCGAGCTTGGATCTTGTGCTCAGATTTCTAATAGCCTGCTGTGATGGGTACTTGCTTCACGTCATGGATAATCAAAACTGATTGTATGTTCTGACCATACTTTTACTGATATGGACAGGTGTGGAAGTCTACTATACTATTATTACATAGGGATCTATTAACCGAAAGGAAATGTTTAAAAAGTGATTGTTTAAATTAAGGCTATAAAGAATTACTCAAAAATAAAGTTTGAGTTTAGGTTTTGAGTATTTAATCTCGCAAAGTCGCACCACGTAAACACCCATATCCATTCATATCTACCCACTTAGCCCCACCCACTCCCATTAGTCTTTCACCACAGGCTCTAACTTTAGACCCCTTCCAATTTCAGGTTGGCTTATAGCATGCGATTTCTTTTCTGTGATGGGTGTGTTAAGCAGTGTTGCTGCCCTCGTGCTGATAGCTTTCAGTTTCTTCAATGCGTTCAAAGGTCGACCACAACACTCAACGATTCCCATTTTCCTTACTGCAAGCACCTCATTGGCAGGTAACTCAGTAAGATACTTGTAAACTTAGTGGCAGGAAAGTCAAAATCGGACGGCCATCCGGTTGTCACCAAGCTTCTTTTGGAGCTTTCTATGGGTAGTCTAGTTATATAAGGTGGGAACAACACATTTTTAAAGCGCCTAAAGTCTCAAGACAGCAGTCTTGCAGAGATAACCACGCTCGTTTAAATGAACGAATGATGGATGGGTGATGGGCTGTTTCATTGAAGACCAACATAAGTAATCATATTAAACGTCGCATTAGTGTCAAAACGGCAGTGCTTGTTTTTTTTCTATAAAATTAGCCGAACCGTCGGCGGTTCCAGTACATGACGTCACGCGCGAGCGTTAACTCGGTGACGATGTGCTAAGTGGGGTTCAAGAATTGTGACGCAGCATGCTTTTTACATTTCTTGACCCTTTTTAATAGTTCTATCGTCCCCACTGACAAAATGGATTACCAATGAATTGAATACGCGTCATACTTCTACAGATGGTCTTTCTCCCACAACCATCCCGTTTTTGGAAGTAAAAAACCTTACCCGTCTCAAAATCACATCGCTGAGCTCTACTCAACCTCTCCCCACCACAAATCACAATTTCTATCTGAAACAATCATATTTGTTCTGCAATAGTGCACGCTTTCATAACTATCTCAACCCCGTAAAAGCGACGTCATTTATGGGCGGTCTAATTTTTATTTGATTACTGCTAAAAAAGTGTTCAAAAGTTCGACCTCCCAACGATTGTTGTGGTCTTGGATGCAAAGGTCTATTAGTCATATTAGGCATATATTAAAACAATATAAAACCATATAAAACCACAAAATCAATACAACAGACATGCGAATAGACAATGTTTCAAGGGAAACTATTACTGTTTTTGAAACATGGCCGCTGCTTATATCTATATATATAATTCTCTTCTTCGAGCCGTTAGAAAACAAGCTGCAAACGCTCTCCCTACCTCCCCACCCCTACATGGTTTTAGTGAGCTGTGTTCACTCTAAATGTTTACAAGCAGAGCCAACGATTTTAAACGTAGGGGGGGAGGAGGGGGGGAGGGAAGGAAGGGGGGGGGTTATGGTCCTTAACGAGCTACTTATAGTGTTTTAAAGAAATATTTTCAGTGTCAGCGTTGGTACTGTCGAATTCACAAATTATGAATTATTGAAAATTAGAAACAACTAAATAGCGGCGTATGTTATGCCGCGGGCCGGCTCGTATTATATATTCTTATCGTTGTCTCGAAAGGGGTAGTTTAAAGTTGATTCCAGGATATTTTTGACTGGTTTGGTTAAATATTTTGTATTCAATTTTCTGTTATATTATGTAAACTATGTCATAAATATGGTCAAATGAAAGATATATTCATTAGTTACCTCCACCGCACATTACTATTTTGAAGTATTTTCGTTGGAATTTACGATTCTAAACTAAGGTTTTCCCTACGTTTGATGAAATTAAACCTTAGAAATTGAAATCTAAATTGTTTTTTTTTATATTTACATAGTTTTTTTTCTTTTTAAATGACAGCTACCTGTATCATCATATGTATCATCATATTCGCAAGCAAAACGGTACACACCTCACTGCTGGGTTATTCCTTCTACCTCTCCATTGCGGGCGGAGTTTTGATCACAATAGGGGGGATACTCGGATTTATCATCAACAGACGATTTAGTTACGGTCCAAAGTAACCGGATGATGTTTTTAGTGTAATACTTTGCTGTATTGTTTGTAATTATTTGCAAATAAAATAAAAGCATCCCCACTGAGTGAGGGTTACATAATATTTAGGTCTAGCAGTTTCATGTTTTTTTTTATTTCAACGAAATGGTGAAAGTACTCCTCTCCTTCTCCAGTTTGAGATGGAGACTTGAGACTAAGCTAATGTATCAAATTCATGTATTCTTGATACACATTTTACTATTTTTAAGGTGTGTATTAAGGCGATAGGTAAGTGTGTAGGCATATGTGTATTTTACAAAAAGATATCTGAAGATACCACACTAACAAAATAGATATGTAAAGACAATTTTTTATTTGCAATTTAAAAAACAAACATTTTGCATAGAAATATATATATATATATATATATATATATATATATATATATATATATATATATATATATATATATTGTTTTAATAAAATTATTTTATTAAATGTGCGCGCCTTTAAGCTTGATATTCTAGAAAAAAATTAGGCAAATACTTAATGTATAAAGAATTAATAATATCTAAATCAAACCAGTACATTTTAATACTAAAAAGTATAAAAAATAATAAATACATAAAAACGTTTATAATTACAAGCTTTTATAAATGCACTAAAAAGAAGAAAATAATACAATTTTTTATTAAATATAAAATAATTTTAAAAAATATAATAAATCTGCGGATACTTTAAATATAAAAAAAATACTTTCTTTAAATATATTAATGCACTATAAATAAAAGCGTTGGCCGCTATAATAATAAGTATTTAATGGGATATGCGGGGGGAAAAAATCACACAATTTCTTATTTTTCGTCATGATGGGTTTCTTGCACCTTTGGATACTTTGTCCATTTTTGTATAAAGAAAATAATAACTTTAAAGAGAAAAAAATATTTTATGTGTTGAAATTACGATTTTTATGACCCTATTAATTAAAAGATAATCAATTTTTCCCAATCTTACAAGCTTTCTATGAAAAGTTTTATATCCGTCATTATATTGTATTTGACATCATTGGAAAGCTGGATTTCTCATGTATCGAATAAACTTAATTTCCTTCATCTCTGAAACACCCAAAGCTTACAATCGGCTTTGCAGTTTACACAGATATGGTACTTTCCTGACCTAGTTTTCGTTACTTTTGGCTGTTTTTCTCAGTTCACAGGTTTTAACACTAAAAAGCCTACTACTTTTTTATTTATTAAACAATGCCAACCATATTTTTAGTAAATGTTCTTGATGCAAAAATACAACTTTTGTCACGAGGGAATTGTGGTTGCTTTCCTAGAAAAAAAGTATTTGGTAATTAATATGCAGATTTTGAAACTTTTGCATACTAAAAAGGGTAAGATTTTTTAAACCTTGTAAAATTCTTACTAGTAATTATTTCAAAAAGTTGTCTTGACAAAAGTTTTAATATATACTGAAATATAAGCAGTTTAAATTTGATTGCTATAGGTGCAGAAATAAAAAGCCTTAGTATTTTTAAAAGTACCGAAAAATTCAAAATGGCGGAGGTTTTTTGGGTTTCCATGACAACCGAAATTGTGTTCGACCCTCTTTTTTTTACTTACTTTTATATGCCAAGTATGATAAAAGTATTCAAAAGGCTTTAGATCTTAAAGTGTAGAAAATAGAAAAAAACATAGCATATACCCTTAAACAAGGGGCCCACGCTTTTAGAGAAAAATCTGTATTTAATTTATATAGAAGTTAAAAAGTAAATTACATTTCAATTTTACGGACGATAAAATACGTTTGATGCAATTAAACCTTAGAAATAGAACTCTATAATGTTTTGTTATATTTACATAGTTCTTTTTTATGACAGCTACCGTTATCATCATCTGTATCGCCATATTTATAAACGAAGCGCCGAACAGATCACGACTGGGGTATTCCTCCTGCCTCTCCATTGGGGGCGGAGTTTTGATCCTAATAGGGGGGATAATCGGACTTATCATCAGCAGACGATTTAGTTACGGTCCAAAGTAACCAGATAATGTTTTTAGTGTAATACTTCGCTGTATTGTTTGTAATTATTTGCAAATAAAAGAAAACATCTTTGTTAATATTTAGATCTAGCAGTTTCGTGTTTTTTTATTTCAACGAAATGGTGAAAGTACTCCTCGCCTTCTCCAGTTTGAGATGTAGACTTGAGAATAAGCTAATGTATCAAATTCATGTATTCTTGATACACATTTTACTATTTTTAAGATGTGTATTAAGGCGATAGGTAAGTGTGTAGGCATATGTGTATTTTACAAAAAGATATCTGAAGATACCACACTAACAAAATAAATATGTAAAAACAATTTTTTATTCACAATTTAAAAAAACAAAACATTTGGCATACAAATATATATATATATATATATATATATATATATATATATATATATATATATATATATATATATATATATATATATATATATATATATATATATATATATATATATATATATATATATATATATCGTTAAAATCTTATCAATATATATGTACAGTCAAGTGCAAATTCCCCCTCAATGCATTCAAAAAATTATTTTATACTGTGTCTATTGTTATGGGACTTTAAACAAAATTTCACAGAATACAATACTTGCTTAATCGTATGGGACTATGGTCACAAAAAAGCTCTTAAAAAATACAGACTTCAAAAACAAGTTTGTCCACATTGTAAACTTAAGTTTAGTGAATAATTTGTAACTGTAAATACAGAGCGAAGGTGTTAATACTTGGAAAATAAGAAAAAAAACTATCTTGTGTTTACTGTATTATTGGCTAATTTTTTAGCCTTATTTATCAAAGTATTTTTACTGGTACTATTTGTGATACTTAACTATAAAGCACTTATATGAATGAATATTTAAGTACTGTGCATGGGTGTTAAATAATTATTTGGGAAAAAAAACTTGCGCCGAAGAAATAATGTGAAAATACACATTTCTGTCAACTTTAACTACATAAGCGCAAGATAGGACAAAGCAGCTTACATTTTTTTGAATCAACCATTTGTACAGGAATATACATATTCTCAATAGCATATTTAAAATTTATTTTATTCAATGTGCGCGCCTTTAAGCTTGATATTCTAGAAAAAACTAAGCAAATACTTAATGTATAAAGAATTAATAATATATAAATCAAACCAGTACATCACTATATGTAAATATTTATGTAAGTAAGTAAAGTAAAGTTCCTTTTCAAACCTGACGGTCTATTGACATGAACCCGGATTCGAACTCAAGACTTACGGGTTAGCTCTCTACCGCTAGACCACTCCGTCCCCCATATATTAATGAACAGCTCTATACAAATAACAACATGCACCAAAACACCCACTTCATCTGTGACAAGTACATTCTAAATGAACACATTTTTTATTAGGATCTGAACTTAAACTTAATAACATATTTAAAGTATAGGTAAATAACATTCTTTTCTTAAATTAGTCAAGCATTAAACATTTTTTTTCCCTTTAATATTGGTAAATAAGTTCTAGTTCTCAATACAGTAGATATACTGGACAAACTATAACAGATTTCATAAAAATTATACGTCATTTAGAAAATTATATTGGTTGGGCGCCTTAAAAAGCTATATACTTTTTTTCAATTTGTTTTAGAACATAGATAAGCTTTCAGGGGAGATTACTTTTCCAAGATTATTAATGAAAAATAGTTTTGGTGATTTGAGATCATGTCGATCTATTTTTACTTGTACAGCTCCACCAATACAGTTATCAGGCTAATATCCATAGTTACTACACCAAAATAAACAAGAGAGAAAACAAACATTTTACAAACGATAACTTTACGCTTCAAAATGTTCTGATATAGTTATAGAAATTTCGTACATTTTAAAAAATGAGGTGATGTCACCACCGTTCACACAAATGATTTCAACAAAAACATAATTCTATTGGAGTCGCGGATCACTTACTTTTTATAAAAGGGGATCGCCACACGAAAAAGTTTGGGAACCACTGACTAAAGCAAAGGATATGACAAAGCAACTTACATTTTTCTTTAAATCTTTCATTTAAATATAATTACATATATTTTCGATTGCAAATTTAAAAATTTCTTTTATTTAATGTGCGCGCCATTAAGCTTGAAAGTATAAAAAAAAAAGAACTAAGCAAATACTTAATATATAAAGAACTTATAATATCTAAACCAAACTAGTACATCATTATAAGTAAATATTAATGAGGCTCTGTAAAAAAAATCATAAAAAAACGTTTTAATAACAAGGTTTTATATAATAATGCATTGAAAAGTAGAAAATAATTGATTTTCTTTAAATATTTAATAATACACTACCATTTAAATAACTTTAAACTTGGAAGGATACAGAGAATTTAGCAGCTTCTGGGTTGGTTTCAAATATCGTAGTTGTTCTGTGAACCTCTTTTGTCGGCACATCTTAAATATAAATATTTATAATTGCAGGATTGAGAGCTCAGGATAACATTCCAAACGATTGTGCAACAAGACACGATGTTATAATATCAGTATCTTTATCATACAATGGGGCCTTATAACGTTACAGAACGATACAGAAATATTTTATCTCTGATAGGACTAGTCTTGATAACTCACAACAGTCGGAGTTTCAGCTGAAACAAATTTTCTGACACGTATAAAGTAAAAAGGATGATAATTGTTATTGACATTCACAAGATTTAGGTAAGAGGAATCTTATAGATCTATTTGTGTTCTTGATTCGGCTTGATATTACTTTGATCTTTACTTTTTTCAACTAAATATTTCCTTTATTAAGTTTGATATAGTTTAGCTCTATATTTTGTTTGGTACGCGGTCCTTCGACCACAAGTGCGGTCGCCATAGGGGTTAGTCCGCAGCGAGGCTTTGTTAATAGATGGTCTATGAACACGATTTTTGACAGCTTGGCTTTAATCAAAGGTGCTTTGTCCATACAGAAAATAAAAAAAAAAAACGTCAAACAAGCGTGACGTCATTTATGAATGACCATCGAAACCCAGTTATCCAAAGGATAATGGGTTGTCTAGTAAAGTACTAGTTATATGCTCGTATTTTAATTGGGCAAAATTCTAAATATACATTTATCAAAATCTCGGTATTCTACGTATAATCGATTCGGAATAAATTAATTCTGCAATCTTGTCTGCATGTTTGTGCGTGTGTGTCTGTGTTTCTGTCAACCCGGTAAATTGAGTACCGTTACAGCCAGGTTGATGAAATTTCATATATTAGTATTATATCACGTTTGTAGTTTGTATCAACTTTCAGCGATTTCGGGTAACCAAAATTTGAACTTATTCTACTTTTGGATTTTCAAAAGCCTATAGCTTGTGTACTGTTTCAGATAGATAGACAAAATTTCAGATATAAGTAAAAGATCTAATTTTCTGCCTTCCGTCGAATTCTGAGTAATTTCCGTGTACTGGAAGTAGTACTTTAGGTATCTCCGCTTTCTCAAACAACGCATATAAATTTATAAAGTACTAATATTCCACACTTTTATAATAAATTGTTTTCTACCACACTCTATCCTATTTTTAAAAGTTTAAGTATTAAAATTTGATGAAAAATCATGCCTATATCCCGTGTTGCTAACCCCCCTAAGTGTAGGCATCCATTTATGACGTCCACAAAAGTTTTGAATTATAGAGGGGGGGGAGGGTTCGGGTAATGGTGCACGTCCACATGATGAATTTATTAACAAAATACTTAAATTTTAAAAAAAAAACCTGCACATAAATGTAGATTAGACATTAAATCGATAGTTCTCGTGTTTAATATCCTCATCACAGCGGGCGAATCAAAAAGGTTACTGGATACCGCCCTATTAAGATTTGTTTTTTTTTAATCGGGAGGGGAGGGGGGTCAATGACAGCGCAGAGGCGTCCGGAGGAACTTACAATTTACTAGCTGGCTAGTTTTTTTTAAACAGAAAACACTTTAGACATTTTTTTTATTTTTGAATATTCAAAGTTTGGTATGGTGAAAAATCATTAAAAACAATGCAAAATCCTTTTCTATCCCCCCCCCCCCCCCACCCCCCACCCCCCCCCCCCCAGTTCGCACGTTTCCACAAAAGCCGATTTTTATTTTCTGGACACCCCTCGTGTGGACGCCATAAATGGATGACCCCGTGTATAAGTAAATTCGAGAAAGTTTATGGGAGATCATTCCCGCTTTATTTATGTAAACACTGCTATGGGGGTGGGGGTAAACTACACTACCTACCCTTCCTAGGCTTATCTAAATAAACTGTTCAGTCAGTGCAAGTCCGGCTAAACCCAGACTGGTTAAATCTTAACCTTAGACTAGATAAGAAACAAAAAAAAAATTTAATAAAATTTATTTTTTAAAAATGGAACCAATCTTTTAAGAAAAGATATAAAAGAATCTAGAAACAAAACTAGACGAAACAAAACATACAAACAAAACAAAACAGCCAAACTCGGACTACAGTCCTAGAAAGTGAAAAAAAAATAGACAAATCATTTCAAATGTAAAAAAAAAAGTTATATACAAAGTATAAAGATGGATATTGAACAAATTAAACCTTTGAATTAAACACATACTGACTGGATTAAATCTCAACATTCTGCATGTAGTTCACACAGAATAAACTCAAAAAATTACCTGGAATATTACCAGGACACTGAGCTCTAAACTAATAGCTCAAACGAGAGTTACCAGCCTTGACACAAGGCTCACGTAAAATAAAGTTGTATACTATCTATTAATATCATCTGCACATCCATAGTGGCTTAGAATAAACTAAACACTCTCCTGGAAATCAAGAAAGATCACTTCAGGAAGTGAAAGTCAACTATAATGACATAAAAATAGTACAAACAGCTTACAAGTAACATAACCAAAGGGGTCATCCATAAATGACGTAACGCTTTTTTGGACGATTTTTACCTCCCCCCTCCCCTCCGTCACACGTCGTCACAAAAAGCCAGACCCCCCCCCCCCCCTTGAAAAGACGTCACACCTCAACCTACAACCCCCCTCAAATTTGCAGTTGAATTTTTTTTAAACACCGATATTTTTCTAAAATCTTGTCTAAACTATTACAATTTATTAAAACAGTTATCTAAAATACGAAATAACTTCTAAAATTCGTTTTCTAACATTGCTTTTTTATAATGCAAAAAATGTGACGTCGCAACATCTGAACCCCCCCCCCCTCCCCCTCATCACACATCGTCACAAAAATACGGACCCCCCTCCCCCCCCCCCCTACGAGTGTGACGTCATTTATGGATGACCCCGATCCCGACAGTCTGGAATGAACCGTAACTTTTGGTCAGGCAATAATAAACCTTACCTCTGGCTTAACACATGCCCAAGGTATACAACTAATAAAAATTACTGCACCACCTAACACAACAGCCTGGAGTAAAACATAACTGTGGGTCAAGTATAAACCTTGTCCCTGGCTTAATTAACACAAGCTCAAGGGATACAACTAACAAAAACCATTGCTGGGAATAATATACACACAGCGGGTTACAAGTATAAGCCTAAATAGTACACACACATCCGAATAAAAAATAGACTACAATAAAGATAAGGTTATCTATCGTTTTAGCGTAATCAATTCGGCCGGCGCTAGTAATGTCGGGATAAGGTAACTAATAAATATGGCTTAAATATGAATATATTTTTGCATATTCTACTAAAATAATAAAGATAATTGAATATTAAACCACATTTAAGGGTTAAATCAATAAAAATGTCATGAAATTACGGTTTAACAACGATGTTCCAGATACTAAATTTGCTATTAAAAACAGCGGCCATCTTAAGAAAATATTATTTTGAGTCATTTCCCTTTCATTTCCCTTTCATTTCTATTTGTATGGAAATGTATTGATGTTTGCTATTAAATACGTGTGTCTTGTGTTTAAATACAAAGCATGCGTTTTCTTTTTTAAATTCTGCGATTTAAACAATTTAATCTACTGACAATAAACATCAGTTTTAGAATTATTATTATTAGATGCAGTTTTTATACATTAAATCCCTATTTTTATAGACCTACCACTACATACATGACATATTACATATCTAATGTTTATTTAAATATTAGTTTGAGTTAGGCCTAAATGTTATGGTTTGTTTGCTATTTTCATTTCATATTTTTTTCCTTTAATTAGTGATATAATCATAAATGACGTCACGTTTTTTGACCTCTCTTCGCCTTAACCTTAATATAAATATTGACAACAATATAAACAAAATATACAGACTAGCAGTAAACAGCGACGTGAACAGTTACAGAACGGCGCCTTAATACAGGACTACATAACTAAAAAGCACGATCAGTTTACGTGATGAAACGAAACGATACATTCGCCTTTATAACTACAGATAATAATTATAATACTATACTCCAGCCACTCACATTTATTTTCCTTTTCAGACAATCCTTTTAAAATGTCTCAAATCGCTGCTCTGGGTGGAGTTACAGGCATCATAGGTCTAGGGGGACTACTTAATCTGGTTGGTATGGCAACGCCGAATTGGGTGGAGTTTAGTTATGTCAATATTGGACTGTGGCAAGTCTGTCTCGATGGCCACTGTGGAACCATATACAACAAAGGAGGTAATAAAATGTTGACTTTCTTGTTGAAAAAAAAATCTCATATCCATGTAGACGACTTAGCAGCTAACTTTAATTAAATAATTTTGAATGTAAAATATAATCAGCTATAGAGATATTAACTATTAAATGGGATTATGTGGTCGCGTGGTAGATCTAATTTTATAACCTGGAAGTCTGGAGTTCGGATCTTGTGCTCAGGTTTGTATGAGTCTACTCTGATGGGTACCTGACTCACTGAGTCCACCCAGCTATGATGGGTACCTGACTCACTGAGTCCACCCAGCTCTGATGGGTACCTGACTCACTGAGTCCACCCAGCTCTGATGGGTACCTGACTCACTGAGTCCACCCAGCTCTGATGAGTACCTGACTCACTGAGTCCACCCAGCTTTGATGGGTACCTGACTCACTGAGCCTACCCAGCTCTGATGGGTACCTGCCTCACGTGAACCGTTTTCAAGACAGTGCTGGCCATTACATTACTTTTTGCAGACAGGTCTGGAAGTCTACTCTACTACCATAACATTGTGCTATATTAGCTGATAGAAATAAAAAAAAATCACTATTTAAATTAAGGCTACAAAAATTAGTAAAAAATAAAGTTTATGTTTAGGTTTTGAGGTTGTTGTATCTAAACTCGCAAAGCCGCACCAAGTAAACATCGATAGCCACCATATCTACACAGTGGCGTAGCAGAGTTTCTTCCAGGCATCTCTTCGAAAATTTTTTACCCCCCCCCCCCCCGAAACAAAATGAAATTTATATAATTTATATAGAAAATATATACTTTTAACAGGGTCCGCCACCCCCCACCCCGAAGAAAGTCTACCGCCCCCCCCCCCCCGAAAATTTCAAGTGCCCCCCCCCCGGAGAAAAAAGTCTGGAAGAAACACTGGTCGGGTGTCACCCGGTGCAGCACTTAATGGTGTCACCCCCCCCCCCCCCAATGGGCGATGCTGACGTACATAGATCAAGGCGTTTTGTTGTCTCTTTCAAGTTTTTTCCCGAGCCGACCCCCATCCCATCCCTCTTTCTTAGACTCGCATGTCTCGAGTAGATAAATGTATCGTTTATGAACTACTTCCTAACCTTACATTCAATACTTGAGCACATTTTGTTAGGCAGTAGACAGCAGTAGTCAACAGATGTTAATTTATTTACATAGTACTAGATCTAAGCGCATTTAATTTACAAAATAGAGAAGGTAAGATTATTGTTTATATAGTTATTTAGAAATTAATTAGAACGTTTAGAATTAATTGGGATTTATTAAAATAGTCAATTACCATTCATAAAATAACGTCATAGGGGGTACGCGTCTGGCTTTTTGTAAGTCGTTAAAAAACGTGACGTCGTATGTGGATATATATATATATATATATATATATATATATATATATATATATATATATATATATATATATATATATATATATATAGGGGCCAAAAAATAAATCTGCGAGGGGGGGGGGCTTTTTTTCCCAGTTCCGCCACTGCTTCAGTGTTATTAATAGGATCACCATTAACTTTGAACAATCGTTGCAGTTCAGTTCTGACCACTTAAGATTTATAGATTTTTACAGTGTGTGCTCATTGATTTCAGTCACCTCTTCATTTTTTAGAGAAAAATCTGTATTTGATTTATATAAAGTTAAAAAGTAAATTACATTTCAATTTTACGGACGAAAAAATACGTTTCATTCAATTATACCTTAGAAACAGAACTCTATATTGTTTTGTTATATTTACATAGTTCTTTTTTTCAATGACAGCTACCTTTATCACCATCTGTATCATCATATTTGTAAACGAAGCGCCGTCAAATTCACGACTAGGGTATTCCTCCTGCCTGTGCATTGTGGGCGGAATTTTGGTCCTAATAGGGGGGATAATCGGACTTATCATCAGCAGACGATTGAGTTACGGTCCAAATAACCAGATAACTTGAAATTATTTGCAAATAAAATATCTTTGTTAATATTTAGATCTAGCATCTTCATGTTTTTTTTTGGTATTTCAACAAAAAAGTACTTCTCTCCTTTAAGATGGAGACTTGAGACTAAGCTAATGTATCAAATTCATGTATTCTTGATACACATTTTACAATATTTAAGGTGTGTATAGTGACAGGTAAGTGTGTAGGCATATGTGTATGTTTTACAAAAAGATATCTGAAGATACCACACTAACAAAATAGATATGTAAAGACAATTTTTTATTCACAATTTAAAAAAAAAAACATTTTGCATACAAATATATATATATATATATATATATATATAATATATTTTGTGAAAATTTTATCAATATATATGTACAGTCCAATGCGAATTCCCCCTCAGTGTATTCAAAAAAAGTATTTTTATAGTTTGTCTATTATTAGAGGACTTAGCACAAAACAGAAATTTCATAGAATACAATACTTGCTTAATACATAATGGGACTATGGTGAAAAAAAAATACAGACTTGAAAAACAATTTTGTAAACATTGTAAACTTAAGTTTAGTGAATTATTTGTAACTGTAAATTCAGAGTGATTGTGTTTATACTTAGAAAATTAGCAAAAAACTATCAGTGTGTTTACTATACGTTGGCTAATTTTTTGAAAATAGGACCAGAGCTTTATTTATCAAATAATTTTTACTGGTACTATTTGTGATACTTAACTATAAAGAACTTATATGGATGATTTAGTACTGCGAATGGGCGTTAAATAATTATTATTTGAGAAATAAAACTTGCGCCGAAGAAATAATGTGAAAAATACACATTTCTGTCAACTTAAACTACATTAAGCACAGGATAGGACAAAGCTGCTTACATGTTTTTAAAATCAACCATTTGTACATGAATATACATATTCTCAATAGCATATTTAAAATTTATTTTATTAAATGTGCGCGCCTTTAAGCTTGAAAGTGTAGAAAAAACTAAGCAAATACTTAATGTATAAAGAATTTATAATATCTAAATCAAACCAGTACATCACTATATGTAAATATTAATGAACGGCTCTGTAAAAACAACATGCATCAAAACACCCACTCTATCTGTGACAAGTACACCCTAAATGAACACATATTTATCAAGATCTGAACTTAAGCTTCATAACATGTTTGAAGTTTAGGTAAATAACATTCTTTTCTCAAATTAGTTAAGAAAATTAACATTCTTAACTAAAATTAATAAAGCCTTATATCATTCTCGGATCTAGTTTTCTTGGCTCTAACTCAATTAACTATCTTGGCTCTAATTAGTTTTATCCAAATAGCTTTGGCTTTAATTTATTCATTCATGCAGCTGTATTTATACAATTGCCAACAGTAAAAAAAAAATGTCATGAAAAGCAAATATCCAAAACAAAGGGGGGCAAATGTTTACACACAAAAGGAAATGTTTTAAGTTCTTTATTACAAAAATTCACAGCCATTTAGGGCACAAGGAAAAATATACAGTATTAAACCTTATATTCACTTTTATATTGATACATAAGTTCTAGTTCTCAGTGCAGTAGATATACTGGACAAACTTTAACAAGTTTTAAAAAAAAATACATTATTTAAAAAATTATATTGGTTGGGTGCATTAAAAAGCTAAAGATCTATACTTTTAAAAAAAATTTGCTTCAGAAAGTTAAGCTTTCAGAATTACTGCTCAAGGGGGGGGGGGGGGATTACTTTTCCAAAATTATTAATGAGAAATGGTTTTGGTGATTTGAGCTCAGTTTTTATTTTGATATATTTTTACTTGTACAGCTCCACCAATAGAATTTTCAAGCTTGTTGCCATGGATACTACACCAAAATAAACAAGGGAGAAAACAAACATTTCACAAACAATAACTTTACCCTTCAAAATGTACTGATATAGTTATAAAAATTTTGTACATTATCATATAAATGAGGTGATGTCACCACCTTTCATACAAATGATTTCAACAAAAATATATCTGCAACACCTCTGTACACATATATCCCACATAATCCTCATTGTATGTTGTATTCCTGTACAACAAGTCCTCTCAGGGTTAACATTTGTTTTGGCTTTACTAGTATGTACAAATCATCAACATATATATGTTCCTTGAAGCACAATCAACAAACTCCTATTCTTTTGTGACTTTCTCATTATTTAGAATCTTAAGTGACATTCTCATAATCTAGAGTATTACAAAATGACAAGAAATCTTCTGAAAGACAAGTCCCTTTGTCAAATTATTTCACAGCACAGGATTTAAACATGAAGCAAGCTCAGCCTCATGCTAAAGCATTGTAAGAACACTTGGGTCTTCACAGTTCAGAGACATTCTCACTGCTAATGCCCCCAAGAACAGGGTCTTCCTGATTCACTGGGGTCTTCTGGGTTGACTGGGGTCTTCTGGGTCGACTGGGGTCTTCTGGGGGTCACCACTCAAACTCCCATGTCTCCTAGAACAGCCCAGCTGGTTGCTTCAGCTGCTTCTGCCTCCATTGAGGGGAACTGTAGAACTCTTCTCTGCCCACACCAAGGACCTCCTGAGACATAGCAATGTAACCATGAATTATAAATAAGGAAGAAAAATATAAAAATAAAAGAAAATAACACAAGTGCGGAAAACATACAGTACACTGAAAAAAATGTAATTAAAATGTAAGCCAAATTGTATAACATTTTTTATTTCTATGAATCAAAATTCAAAGCACCAGTGTTAAATACTTTGGACTTATAAAAAATAATCTAGTAAATCTTGACAGTCGGTTGATTCATTTTTTGTGTTTTTAAATGTTTTTTTTTTTAAAAAAATCTTTAAAACCCTGACCTGAAACTCCGCATCATTCAGGTATGATCCCAACTTAAGTGTTTTTAAAATCTTTAAAAACCTCACCTGAAACTCTGCATCATCTAGGTAAGATCCCAACTTAAGTGTTTTTAAAATCTTTAAAAACCTCACCTGAAACTCTGCATCATCTAGGTAAGATCCCAACTTAAGTGTTTTTAAAATCTTTAAAAACCTCACCTGAAACTCTGCATCATCTAGGTAAGATCCCAACTTAAGTGTTTTTAAAATCTTTAAAAACCTCACCTGAAACTCTGCATCATCCAGGTATGATTCCAACTTCAGTGGGTCAACGCCTTCAGGCAAGGGCCGCTCCTGTAGCTCGGCCAGAGTGTAACGAGTCTTGGTCAGCCTACGATGGACATCAGAAACTTTTTCCTTGTAGCCCACGGCTTTACCCTCCTGCTAAATCGTAAATTATACAATCATTAGTTCATAGGATGCAATCATACAATCATTAGTTCAGATGATCTGATCATTAGTTCATAGGATCCAATTATTAGTTCATAGGATCCAATTATTAGTTCATAGGATCACATCATACAATCATTTTATAGGATCCAATCATACAATCATTAGTGCATAGGAACCAATCATTAGTTCATAGGATCCAATCATACAATCATTAGTTCATAGTATCCAATCATACAATCATTAGTGCATAGGATCCAATCATACAATCATTAGTGCATAGGATCCGATCATACAATCATTAGTGCATAGGATCCAATCATTAGTTCATATTATCCAATCATACAATCATTAGTTCATAGGATCCAATCATACAACTATTAGTTCAATGTTTACAATCATTGTTTTCTGTATAATCACCCTATCAAGTCATTAATTTATTATTATTAATAAAACCATAAAAGCATAATGCATTACAGATTTTCTACACTGCTAACTGCAGCTGTTTCCCATATACTGATCACTATGTGAATATATTTCAGCTTTAAATCACACAAAACTATCTCTATTATAAATTACTTTATTATACTTGGAATACACATTCTAAGATAATTTTAATTCAAATGAAATAGTGATTTTATATATTTGGTCCATTAATCATTTAAAGCCTTGAAAAACATATATGTAAACACTAATCCAGTTTTTTACGTTATAAGAAAACAACGAAACAAACCAGGTGCTTACCTCTATAGCAATTTCTGTGACCTTCTCATCACCAACCCAGTAGGGGAACAAAGTTGTGAAGCACTTGGGTTCAACTCCAGCACACACCAAATAGGCTGTGGGTGGCTCTTTGGGGTTTTTAGCTGAGGGCAGGAAACAGACGTGTGTACATGTTGTCAGGAGAAATGTAGACAGCAGACAAGTGTACATGTTGTCAGGAGAAATGTAGACAGCAGATGTGTACATGTTGGGAGAAATGTAGACAGCAGATGTGTACATGTTGTCAGGAGAAATGTAGACAGCAGATGTGTACATGTTGGGAGAAATGTAGACAGCAGATGTGTACATGTTGTCAGGAGAAATGTAGACAGCAGACATGTGTACATGTTGGGATAAATGTAGACAGCAGACATGTGTACATGTTGTCAGGAGAAATGTAGACAGCAGACATGTGTACATGTTGGGATAAATGTAGACAGCAGACATGTGTACATGTTGCCAGGAGAAATGTAGACAGCAGACATGTGTACATGACAAGAGAAATGAGACGTGTACATATTGACATGAGAAATGTAGACATCACCAAGATGGCTATACCAAGCTTAGCTAAATAGAACTTAGCCTTAAGCTGGAACATGTTTAACTTGTTAAACCTGGCCTATGTTAAACCTATCCATGTTAAACCTTTCCATGTTAAACCTAGCCATGTTAAACACTCACCATGTTAAACCCAGCCCATGTTAAACCTAGCCAATGTTAAACCTAGCCATGTTAAACCTAGCCATGTTAAACCTGGCCCATGTTAAACCTAGCCAAGTTAAACCTAGCCCATGTTAAACCCTCACCTTTACAATAATTAAGCGTTGTCTCCATAGCACATCTCCTGTCCATGTTAAACCTAGCCGTGGCCGAGCCTGTGTGGACATTATCCGTGTCATGTGACCCAAAGGGCCACCACCCCTGCCACAAGTACACCTCATGATGGTTATCCAACAGGAAGAGAGCTAAGAGGATAAAAAAACTAATCAAGCTAATAATACCAGCAATAACATTTTCACTCCATTTAATCATACGTTATATTTTCAAAAATTCAAACTTTTTAGAATATATCAAACATTCTTTAGGCCATGAATATTTTAACTGATTGTCTAAAACATAATTTTACAAAATGACCTTTTTAAAAATAATTTCTAATTAAAATTGATAGTGCCTTACTTAATATTTTAAATAAGTGACAATATTAATAGAAATAGATTTTTTTATGATGATGATCTTTTCTAAAAAATTTTGTCACCTAACCAGCTTTGTAAAATAAACCTTCCTATACAATTTAAAAAACTATTTAATGATTGCTCGCCTCCCCACCCCCAAAAATTAGTTACCTGGTTGTGAGACCCTGTAGAGATCAGACTGGAGGAAGGGGAAGGGTGTGTGAAGGTCTGGGACTCGAGAAAAGTTGAGCTGCTCGTGGGCCTCAAACACCATGTTGACACTCGACATGTGGAACAGCCTCAGGGTGTGGCTGTAAGGCCGGGGGTCTGAAATCATTCATGCGGAACATTTACAACGCTGTGCTATAACTAGATTACATATATATATATATATATATATATATATATATATATATATATATATATATATATATATATATATACAGAGAGAGAGAGACTAATTAATAGTTATATTAAATGCAATTAAAAATAAAGTTTAATTTTAACATTTTCCTATCAGATCTTTTTCTTTTAAAAGCAACAAGTAATAATTAAAGGGAGGTAATCTTTTAAATGCTAAGTCAGGTAATAATGGGAGGTAACTGTATACCTTCCAACAGGGAATGGTAACTGCTTCTATCTTTACTATCAAATGCGGCCCAGATTTCTTTTTTCTCCTCCCCTTCATTCACTTCTATCACTGTAATAACTGCACTTTTGTGAAGACTGAATTCTAAAGGTGTTCTACAAGACAAACACAGATTCAACTGAGTTATAAACAATAATGAAATAAAAGCAACATAATAATATAAAATCTCATTCTACATTTTAAAAATTGCTACAAAGAAATGACATTTTCATATTCCTAAAATCAGTTTATAAAATATCCACATTAATTATAGATAACATTCATAAAATCTGAAATGTTCAACTTCCACATTTATCCTTTCTTAACATTTTTAAAATATAAAAATGTTTTTTTAATGTATTGCCTGCATAAATCATTGAATAAATTAAAAAACTAAACCTGAAAATGTGACTTACCTTTCTTTGAACCTGTTAACTGCTTTACGACACAATTCCTGAACATGCTGGGGTGACTTGGCCCCATGCCATATATACACTAGCCCAGTCTTAACATTCAACAAAACTAAAGAGGATCTGCTACGAAGGTTTTCTATACACACTGGGATCTGTGAGAGAAATATTGTACAGATTCAACTCTCCATGCCCTATCATCACATAAAACTAATCCTCTAAAATCAATGACAAAACTTCCATCCAACCAATTCAAGCAAATGAAATACAAGTTATGTCCCTTTTTAACCCCTTTTCCAAGACAGAGTTATTACAAAAACCAGATCTGTTATTTATATATGATCATATGTATTAATATTTCCCTGGTAATCACATTAAGTGAAACAGCCTCACTACTGATATTCACAATCCGCCATGTATGACATTTTCACTTTTGCCTTAAGTACCTTAAATAACAAACAACGTTACATTGTATCACTCCTAGTATATTATAGAACCTACCTCAACAAGACACATCTCATTCTCATAATCTCCACGTAAACAAAAGAGGCGCCACGACCCAGGGGTGTTGGTATCTGGGTCCTCTCTCTTCCCTATATGAACCACCATATTGCCATTGAAGAGATTCAGGAAACAGGGGTACTCTTTGCCCTGTAGAACTCGCACCTGGGATAAGGAATATTAAACAAGTTAAAAAAACAAGTCAAATGAAAAATGCCTACAAAAACAAAATTTTGAATGTGTGGGTTCCATACAAAACAATTGGCAGCTTAGATAAAGTTGTAGTGTTAGATTTGTAGAAAAGATTTCCAAATTTTGGTATGCAAGTGGTTTAAAGAGAGATGATTAAATAATATTTAGATCCCTGGCTAAATTAAAAACAATATAAAAGAACCACTTGAGGATTTCTACCTTCTAAAAATTTAAGACCCCCATGCAGTCCCCTCCCCCTTGAAATAAATGACCCACCTGAGGACCCCTCTCCTCATCCAACTCTACAGTCATAAGGGCCGAGGCTCCTTTCTCATTAATGGTAGACTTGGATCCTTGCCAGAAGAAATAGGCGCATCTCTCCCTGCCCTTTGGTACATTCTTGGAGGTGCCCTTCAGTGTGCGTAGATCTAGATAAAATATACAATGAAAAGTTCATGATTGCTGTGCAAAATTTAATCAAACTTTATTATCTACAACATCACAACATTCATAGGTAACTGATGACACCTGGGCTGATATATTTAGCTAATTTCATCCTCTTTAAACACTTATGGCACTGGTTGAATGGTAGAAACTACAAGTAAAAGCCCAGGGTTCAATTTCCAGAATAATGTCCCAGAGTCTATCCAGCTCTAATGGGTACCTAATTTGAATTGGATAATGTAAAGACAGATAGACTATATCCCTTCACATGATATATAAACAGATCAGCTTTTTATTTAATCCATGGATCTGAAAGGTTACTTAATATTTTTTTAATATGCTGTGTATTAGGTATACGCTTGAAAGCTTGATAAAACACTAAGGGTAGAGAAGAAAAACTTACTAGCACTAGCAATCATGTAGACCCATCTCACAACATAGGTGTCTCCCTCATGGAACTGCCCATGGCTCTCCTTCTCCAGCTTGTTGTGATCGTACTCCATAACATGCCACATTGTGACTCCTATGGTGATGATGTCCAGCTCTTTGATAAAGCCCTGCATGTCCTCAAACCACTTCACCCCGCGGCCCACGTCGGCTCCCTCAAGTTTTAGAGTGACAGGCATGGTGTTCAGAGGAATCATCTGGGCGACATCGTAGGGCTTCAACACTGGTATGTCCTTCTGGAAAAGTAATGGAAAAATTAAATTTTTTAACACACAAAAAGAAAGCAAATATGCTAAATAATTTCAGAAAAAAATCGCATATTTTAAAATTATTTCTATAATAAACATTAAATTTTTGTAACACACAAAAAGAAAGCGAAAATGCTAAATTATTTCAGTTTCAGAATAAAAGGGGCATATTTATAAATTATTTCTGTAATAAACATTTTTGATGAGTCAAACTATTTTACTTCTGAGAAACTTGATAAAATACTTCTATACAAATGATGTGTGCATGAGAAATCCTTTATGTCAGTATACTAAATGGCAGGTCCTACCACTAAAAAACAGGGTACCTAATGGGTCATACTATTTTAATTGTAAACTATCTAGCAGGTCATACTACCAAAATAAGTGTGACTCACGTTAACAACCTCTGACCCAGTAGTCTCTGTCTTGCAACCAATCAAACGTGAGGAATCCGGCCAATCAGCAAACTTTTCCCTGAACAAGATGGTTTCCATATTCTGATTGATTTTGCCAAAAATTGTCCATTTGGGGCGGGTCGAGGCCTTGACTGGCAGACCACCGTGGTCCTCAGCTGAAATAGCAAAAAACATTCAGTCTCAAACAAGTAAAAGTAGGTTATCAAAACGCAAACATTTTTGTAACAAAATATGTAATTACATAATTTTTAAACAGTTTACTGCTAGCAAAAAATATTTGACCATAAAATTTAAAGCTTTGGTGACACAAAAATGACAAAACACATGCAACAAAGTAATGAAAGAGGACCAATAACATAAAAATGCAAACATCACTAGTGCTTCTTTCTTAGTAGATTGACAAAACACATAAAACCTGGTGACACACTACATTTAATGAGCTTACTTCTAACTGATGATACAGAATAGACTACAAAACAAAAATTAAACATCACTACATTTAACAAGCTGACTTCTAAGTGGTAACACAGGATTGACAAAACATATAAAACAAAGTGGTGACACACTACATTTAAGAAGCTTACTTGTAAGTGGTGACACAGAATTGATAACATAAATATACAAATATCACTACAGCTTACTTGTAAGTGGTGACACAGAATTGATAACATAAATATACAAATATCAGTACAGCTTACTTGTAAGTGGTGACACAGAATTGATAACATAAATATACAAATATCACTACAGCTTACTTCTAAGTGGTGAGACAGGATTGACAACACTCTCAGTGTAGTCGTAGCCCTTCTCATACAGCTGTTTGGCCAGCTTCAGGCCTAACTTCCTCTGTTCCATAGACACAGCCTTGCCCTGCCACAGGTAAAATTCTGTCCCAAAGTCAAACACTAGAACCTGTAACAAGAGGAAAGTACATGAACAGATCTGACACCACCATCAGGGCTGGCTTTGCTGGCACCTTAGGCAGGGGATGATAACTTAGGTGGGGCTATATTAAATACTGTAGTTTAAAAAAAAAAATTTTTTTCTACAGCTAAGTTAAATGTCCAAAACAAAATGTATAATTCTGGAAACACAAAGTATTATTTTTTTTGTAAAGATTTTAAAAAGTTTTTCCCAAATGACAAAATTAAAAATATTAGTTCTTATCATCAGTTTGGCATTATTAATTGCCTAAAAATCTTTTCTGTGTTTTACAAAACTAAATAATGTTGATATAGATTAAATAAAATTGTTAGTTTCATGGATTTGAGTTTGAAAAAAAAAAAGGTTTACAAATACTAAAAACATTGCATATAATAAACAATAAGGTATGAAAACTTAGCCATAGTGTAATTAAGATAATGTTGAATTAAATTATACTTAAATTTATAAAAATCATTATTTAAGAAACCTTAATGCTAGAAAAAAAAACAGAAAATGGTGCAAATGAGTTAATTACAAAACAGAAGAAACAAATGAGTGTATTGGCTACTAAAAGTAAACTTTGGGTGGCCACACTAATGAAATTAACAAAAGTACTACTAATATTTATCCCATCCTAGATAACCCAAGGCCTCTACAGGTTGGATTGTACCTCATTTTTCTTGAGCATCTCATACTTGGGTATGGCTCCCCAAAACTCTTCATAAGGCAGTAGAGCATTCCCTTCTAGTCTGTACACCATGTTGGCTTTTGTTATGGAGGCCTCATACAGTTCATCTTCCTGATCTGGGCCAGCAGCTGTACAATGATTTGTGGGATATTAACTTTGACATCCAGCAAGATTAAAATATTTCAATATGCCAATTTGTATTTTTATTGTAATATTATGGTGAAATACAACATGAATATTGAACTAAAAATGCCCTCAATGATGCATAACCAGTTGACACATACACTTAATTGTGATGGAAGGGGATACCTTCCAATACTAAAAATTAAGAACAAAGAAGAAGAAAAACTTAAAAAAAAAAAATGTCATTGCAGAAAAGTTTCAAATTTTGAAGAGTTTTGTCCCTTACCTTGCACCTGTTTCTCTCCCTCTAAGACAGTCCAAAGTTTGCTGGACCCTAAGTGATCTCTGCTCTGGTAAATGGTGACCACTTCATTAGCTTTCTTACAGCCCAGGTCTTTCTTGGTCTGAATGTAACTGGCTATCTCTTTAGCCTGAAACACAACATCTTCATTGATAAACACTGAATAAAAATATCTTAAAGTTTTAACAAAAGTGTAATGGACATTGTGACTAATACATCCCTTAGGATTCAAATTGTATTGAGAAATAAAATTCTCAATTGTATTGAGAAATAAGATAGTTGAGCTTGAAAGATGGGACATACCTTAGCTTTTTCTATGACATTAGCAAACTGCCCCTCCCAGTGTATAACTTTGTCAGGTGTAACCAGCACATAGCAGTCTCCAGAATTTAAAGACCTGGAGTGAGGTTCCACTAGACGAGTCTGAATTGTACGCCTCCCTGGCGAATAAAAAAACAATATTGAAAGCAATCATTTTATAAATATTCATAAAACTATAAACCTTAATTAGTTTTTTATAATTATTTTATTAAAAAAATTTAGCATGTGAAAAACTTCTACAATGATTTTAAAAAATATTGTAGTATCAAAACAAAATTATGTTTGAACAATAGGAAAACCTATATCTAAGCAACTGTAGCCCAATTACACAGTTATAGTACAATTATAGTTGTAACCAAATAGCAACAACAATGTGAACCAACTGTAGCCCAATTACACAGCTGTAGCTAAATAGCAACAACAATGTGAACCAACTGTAGCCCAATTACACAGCTGTAGCCAAATAGCAACAACAATGTGAACCAACCTTTCACGTGCAGCAACATCAGCTCATTGAAAGGCTCTAAAGCCAGGCCATGCACAGTGGATCCACTGTCTGTTCTCCTGAGCTCGACCTGCTTGAAGTTTTCTTTGCTGGCCAGTCCAGCTAAAGCTGCTTCAGCAAACCCTGCATCCTTGGCCACTGCCAGAAAAAAATGTTTTAAGTTTAGATTTTATGACCAGTGGCTTACATTACTTCAAAGCTCTCTTTAAGTCCTACATAGCTTGAAATGTATTAGATGAAAGTTATATTGTAATTTTAGTTCTGTGTTGTTGATTCTGTCACCAACGCATTAAATATGGTTGTAAATTATGTTTTGTTAAAACTTATAGATATTGATTGATGTCAATACAAAGTCAACTTTTAGTTTCAAATTTTTCTATAGAACTTAAAAGCAGGGAATGTTTTGGGTCTATAAACACTAACGTTAATTTAAAAAAAAAATTAATTAGTAATAAGTTATCTACCAGTTGTATTTGAAGGTATTCTATTTAAATGACAAATAACTTACATCCTTCCTTTTTGACACGACGGAACTCCATCTCTGCGATGCCTGTGCTGACCTCTGTGTACTCTGTCAGAATCTCAACTTTCTGTGACAAGGTTTTCAGCGGGTTGTGGGTGCTTGCTGTTGTTTTACGTGAAGGCTTGATCCTGCGCACTGTTGTCAGGCTGTAACAAAATATTTTAAGTTTTAGACATACAAAACAACAACACTAGTCTATTATACTAGTATTTATTTAAGTTCAAAAGATTTCTGGACATTAAAAATTTCAAATATTAAATTTAGTATTAAAGACCATTTTTACTAGCATTGATATGTTTTAATCTTACTTTATATTTAAAATAGTAAATAAAAAAATATAAGCAATCCATACTCTTGTTGCTGTATGTCTATACATTGGTATGTGAACACTGTCAAACTCTGATATATTTGATTTACTAAAATAAATTACTATGATTTTCTATGCTGATGCAACCAAACATAATGCCTGACTTACATGTTCTCTGATTGGATGAACATGTCATCAAAGTCATCTATCTCTACTTTCACTTTGTCATGGATCTCATCTATTGTTTTCACAGCAAAGAAAAGCTCTACTTCCTCCCCAATGTTGGGTATTTCCACTCTGACAGGTTCCTTCTTTTCTTCACTTTCAGAAGGTTTTTTCACTGGAACAATTTTCACTGTTGGATCTTTAAGGGAAAAAAAAAACTGTATTAATAAACAAATAAATTACATTAGGAAATCGCTGACAACAAACGTAAATTATACTTTTTTTTTTTGTGACACTCCAGTTCGGCCAAAAGCAAACAAATGTAACACTTTCAGGTTCAGGGTTAGGTTGCTCAGAGTATAGTGATACAATTTGAGCTGATCACCTAATGCTAATGGGAAGTATCAAGCATGCTCGATGTTCTTAATTAACACAAGTTTACAGAAATATCTTTGTTGCTTCTACAGTTAAAAATAATCCAATAATTTTTTTTTTTAGAAGTTTAATGATCATGCCTAATATTTCACTAAAGAAATAGATGAAATATTTGAATGTAACTGCCTTACCATGAACAATCTCTTTTGGCAAAGGTATTTTGGCAATAAAATCTTTAGTAGGTGTCAGTGGTGATGCTAGTGGAGTGTTGCCTTGGGAACCAGAGTCCACTGAAGCTAATGGTGAAGAAAACATTAAAATGTATTTGAATTCTGATCTTTGGTTTGTTCTTATTTTTAATACCTAGTTAATTTCTTAAAACAGATTAATTTTAACACTTGTTGCAATTAGAATTATCTGACTATTCATAATTGTAATATTTGAATTCTCATTAATTTCTTTTTTAAAATAAATTTTCTTTCGCTCTCATTCTGAATGTGTTTACCTTCTTTTTTAGGCAGATTTTTTACTTTATTGACAAGAGGGCTGTCTACTGCATCTGAAAAAAAGGATTGTAGACTAGTCATGTCACAATGATCAAACAAAAATGGATCTTCAAGACATTCAAGTTACAGCAATATTGAGGCTCACATATTTTTAAAACTAGAATTTTAATTATCTTTACATAAAAGTTAATATTTAAAGGCTTTTTAATGAGAAAAATCAGTTATTAAAATTATTTAAAGTGAAGTTGATTTACATAAACAGCTGATAGTTTCTAATATATATTTTTTTTAAATTTGCCCAAACTGACAATTTACTGAATAGTGCTGAATCCTCACTGACAGAGTAAGGTTTTACTGTAATTAACCTCAAGGATAGACAAGCAGGGAGACAACTCACTTGAAAGTTTTCCAGCAACTGTGAACTGCTTGACATCCGTCTCCTCCACCCTGGCCTTCCATGTCTTGCTGGACACCTCTAGCTCAGTCAGCCTGTCAGCGATGCTGCACGGCCGCTGGGCAGTGTTCCCACTCTTCTCTCGCAGCTTCACCACATCTGGTGAAGCCAGGCGCTTCTTCCATTCTTCTTCCCCACTGGTTTTCAGCTGGTTTAGCCTAGACATAAATACATGTACATTTAATCATCGCTAGAGTACAATTTGCTTTGTATGAAACCCATGTTGGTTAAGTTACCAATATCGCAACTAGCAGGACAAAACGGGCAGATGAAGTAACTTCACATTTTTCTGTGACTTTGGTATATGAAGGAATAATGTGGTCAGTACAATATCCAGCCGCCTTTGGCTTTCCTCCAGTGAGTTAGTCCTACATAAAGCTATGACAGAACCAGCATTGTACCTTTCATAAGTGTTGGCTAATTTTAATTTAGAAAAGCAGTATGATTACGGCTATTTATTGGTATTTTTAAATATAATCAACATCAAATAGTGTGGCTTTTAAAGAGTTGGATCTAGTATAATCTTTTTCTAGCACCATAGAATGTAAAGGAACTTTGCTTATATTAAATAGATTTTTTAGCCCTACTTATTAAATTTGATGTGTGCATTATTAAGCAAAAAAAGTGACTGTACGTAAGCAAATTGATAAATATATTCATGAAAAGTTGATTTAAGCAGTTTTTTTTTTAAATACCTGATCTTTACAAGGCAACATTAGAACTAGATCTACTTACTAATTAAAATAAAGTAGTAGACCAAGCTAGACGTAGATCTATGTGTTTTTAAATTATTAATAGGGTCTATAAGTCTAGATCTATAACAATATGCTATATAAGGCCCTATAAAATAGCATAAATGTCCCTAAAATAGATGAAACTTGAGATGTCAAACATTATTTTTTAGATCAAGCACTTTAAGTTCTTTACTAAGTAGGGCACTATCAACTAGGGGCCTATAGTTTACTTAAGTTTACTAGATTTATAGTAGGCCTTAATACAATAGAATTATAAATTATATTGGCCTAATTTTAGCCTATAAAGTATAATAAAGAAAGCAACCAAGGCTAATAAAACTTCAATAAACTCTTTAGCTTCATCGCTCACCATATTTTTTTTATTCTAGATTTCTAGATCTATTCTAGATCTAGATCTAGATCTAGCTATAAAAATCGATTCATTATAGACTTAGGCCTATAGCCTATAGATCTAGATTTTTTTCTAGATCTAGAATAAGTATGATTCAGATTTCATTGTGGTTTTTTTTTTATAAATCGAGATTCTAGATCTAGATATTTAGGTCTCTTAGAATCGAATTATAATTTTGGTTTGGCTCGGTCCTACAAAAAATTAGGCCAGCTCACTCTATGATATGTGATGTCTAGAATTTGGTAATCTATCGTTTTAGGTAGACTCTACGTAAAATCGCTATGAATATGAACGAAAACTCTGAAAAATACATTTTTTTTTAAAAATCAAGCCAACAGATTCCGAATTAGAATAAAGAAATAATCACCGATAGTTGATGCAACCAACATGAACTATATCACTTATTGTATCCATGTTTATTTTTCAAATGGCGAACAATGAAACGATGGCTGGTATTACCAGCCTGACAGTGACAATAAAATGCGTCAACTTTCGGGATTGGCGACGTGCGGAGGGTGACCGCTTTGTTTACGTTCGGAACTGCCCCATTTTCACTGAACACAAATTGTCGAAATCAAAATGAAACATTTTACTTTAAATTTTATATTAACAATTTTACCAAACTATAAACGTATAAAATATATTCCTCTACAGTCATAAAAGAAAATAAATCGGTTATGTTTATTTCAATATTTGTATAATAGATCAAGGCCTATTTATTCATACTGAATTTTATAAAGTTTGCCCATGTTGATTTTTCTTGGCCAAATCTTTGGGTTTTCAATATGGTTATTCTAAAAGTCAAAACAAAACTGCCTATTTAATTAATTTTTCTTTTACTCCTTCATTGGTCAAGTATTAGGGTTGGTCTATACGTAATGCCAAACCCCTAGCTGGTGTGGGGGGGGGGGGGGTCGCACTTTTGTAATGTGTGGCGAGGGGAGTCAGAAAGTGCCGTGTTAAGTCTTTATATTTTGTAAGTAGCTTCGAAACAAAACAAATTGTAGTTAAAAGTTGGAAGTTATGTGAATTTTCAAAAATGTTGAAAGTGAGGAGTGGGATATGATAATCTGATTCATCGCAAAGAGCATGCCACCATTAGTAGACAAGTTCCTTTGTGTTTTTTTTTCAAAGGACACATGAGGTAGATAAAGTAGAGTTCATGACCTCGGCATTTCCAATGATTTAAACCCGAATTCAACCTCCAGACTCTCGAGTGTAGCAGTCTAGCTTTCTACCGCTAGGCCACGCCGTCCCGTTCAGTATCTTACTGAGTGTCTATTTGTGTGTGTTGTGGCTAAAATTAGAGTCACCGTAAGAGAAGCAACAAATATAGATTGTTTACAACCTTTCTGAAGACCAGACACACGTGTATCATCTATGGCCATAAAAGCACACCTAAGTTTAACTTAACTAATAATAAAACTTGAGAATTTCAAGTTGTCTTATCTTTTTATTGCCAATGTTTTAGAAAGGGTATTTTAGTATAATTGAAGTATAATGATAGAGGCATTTTAACATGTGTGGTCACGACTTACCTGTCGGTGATTGACCCCCCAGGTGTTCTGGTGAGGTTGGATACAGGTGTAGCAGCCTCGGCCTCCCTCATCTCATCAGGTGTGATCGGCTGGGTCTTGTGGCGCCCTTCATACTTGTACTTCCTCCTGGGGGTCTCAGTGGAGCTGGCCCCTTCAGAGGGGAGTTCTGTTGGCTGGGTCTTGTATCTGCAACATCGGGTATTCGTGTGTCATCACAGATTTACATACACTGTTGGTTATTGTTGGGTCAAAATGTCGGGGGTCAGGGGTTACCAATATGGAGTATCTAGACATCGTAGTGTGATTGGGCCTAATTTAAAAAAAAAAAAAAAAAAAGGGGGGACCAAAACGTCACTCTCAGAGACGGACTGACAAAGGTGCGTTAAAAAAACTAAAGTCAGACGAAGCCGCATTCTATCATACCCCCCCCCCTCCAGGCCTCTTAAACACCCCAGTTCACTTGTGGTCATTTGTGTCATAGGAGTGTCTAGGACAAGTTGGTGGCAATGCAGGGTAGTGCTCGCCTGTATTGTCTAGCTTTAGTAAATATTAATTCTTGCCGGGTCTTGATACCAAAATGAAATAACACCCATGAATGTTGGATGAAGTATTTTTTAAAGAAAATTCTAGCAAATATGTTTTTTAGAAACAAAACATCAACCAGACGCCGGGGTTAATTTGTATAACATGACACAGAAACCGGTGTGTTTAAAGTAATGAAGTGTGTTGTGTGATGAGATATAACAAAGTAATATTTTAAAAATATTCCGTATAAATTAACTGGGTGTTTTAAAGAATAGAGGTTTACACGTATGTTCTTCAAGGCTATGATCGATAACCGAATCAATGACCACCAAAACACTGCTGGTGTAATCAATACGACACGCACTTGACCTTGGGTAACCTGAATAATGAATTGAACTCGGTGTAATACAGGCAGGGTGGTTTTTAAATGCCAATATTTCTAATACAGGGGCCCAAATTATGTTACAGAGGCCCTAAGTAGTTGACCGAAAGGCTGTATTTATGTCAAAAATGAACAGAGTATACTTTAGCGTTTATCACATGTGAGGAAGTAATTTAGAAAACAAATTCACCAGTTAACCAAAAGCATCAATGAGCAATTAAGCTAGCTATAATTTACCAAAATTGCAATAACTAATTAGCCATGGGTCACAACTGGTACGGTTAATTAGGACAACGTCCACCTACCCTGGTTCAATTGTTAAATATTGTTTCAAGGTTTCCTGGGTATGGACAAACTAAAAAACATAACTAGGCCAAGGCTTTCAACAAATCATTAAAACCCGCGTAACTTGTAAACATAAAATCCCATCTAGGAAAGTGATAGGTTAATTAACCAAAAAAACTAAACACGTTGAAAGTGTGCTCTAGTTTTTACAGGCAAAGACAGGCAATTAGGGACAGAGAAATCCCTCCCCCTCCCACCACCCCTGCATTGTTAGCATCTCTACGTCCTCAATTAACATTAGCCTAATTACATTAAAACAGCTGAGCATAACGTTGAGATTCGATAATTAAGAGCTCCAGAAATAAAACACGCACAAGAAAAAAAAAAGCCAGTCCGTGTTATCCCCCCTTTCAGCCCCCTTCTCCTTTAACTGGCTGTGTTATCCCCCTTTAGCCTGTCCTGATTGTGCGACAAAAAAAAGCTAATTTTAAAACAAACGCTGATGCCATTTGTTCAGCTGTCCGTCCTTACGATGGGCTAGAGCTCATAAGGGGATGAGGGAGGTGGGGGTGAATAGGAGGTCACACAACGAGTGCAACAATGTTGTGATGAGAAAAAATTAGAATTGGGTTTACACCAAGAAACAAGGTGCAGAGAGAGCCTAATGTAATTATCAAATCAGGCCATGTTGAAAATTAAAACCAAACTCCACTATTAATAGGTTATGTGTAAAAACTACGCTGCGAAGTGTGATTGTTTTAGTGTGGGATTCCGACTAGCACTGTTGTGTTGTCTACATAACACAGCAGTAACTCACCTACACATTTCGGAGTGACAACTAGACGTTAAATAAATAAATATATATATATATATATATATATATATATATATATATATATATATATATATATATATATATATATATATATATAGTCTTAATGATATATAACAAAGCAATACAGCTAAATGTGCTTAAATACTAGACCTAAAATAAACAGGGACTTAAAGAAACTAATTACACATTACGTTGATTAATTGTAAGGAAGATAAATGTAATAAACTAGCAATTTACCAGGAAGTTATAGTTTTAATTTATTCACTAAAACAAGTATCACAAAACTTTAAAAAATTCACTTGAACAAGTTCAATCTTTCATCAAGGAGACAATTGTATATCGACCTGTTGATTAAACAGCCGTGTTCGCTCACAATAAGCACACAACATCCGCGGAATATCTGGCCAATACAAAAAGTAGACACGGAACAGCAACAAATAGCAATACGCTGTACCATTATAGTAATGATAAATCCACCTGTAGGTTGACACAAGAGATATCTATCAGATGCTGCTAATCTCTAATTGATATTTCACCTAAAGCTAGCAATACATATAATACTGGCGCAACAGGTTTCTTGCACTTAATGCAAGTATCGACCCTAGCAAGGGGGGTTACTCACACCTTATTAATACACGTCTCTGCTCGTTTGGTTATCGGTGACGGCCTTAACCTACACGACAGCTCACTACCACTGCTCACTACAACAACGGTTGGTCTACCACTGCTCACTACAACAACGGTTGGTCTACCACTGCTCACTACAACAACGGTTGGTCTAAGACTGCTCACTACAACAACGGTTGGTCTACCACTGCTCACTACAACAACAGTTGGTCTACACCTGCTCACTACAACAACGGTTGGTCTACCACTGCTCACTACAACAACGGTTGGTCTACCACTGCTCACTACAACAACGGTTGGTCTACCACTGCTCACTACAACAACGGTTGGTCTACCACTGCTCACTACAACAACAGTTGGTCTACACCTGCTCACTACAACAACGGTTGATCTAAGACTGCTCACTACAACAACGGTTGGTCTAAGACTGCTCACTACAACAACGGTTGATCTAAGACTGCTCACTACAACAACGGTTGGTCTAAGACTGCTCACTACAACAACGGTTGGTCTACCACTGCTCACTACAACAACGGTTGGTCAAAGACTGCTAACTACAACAACGGTTGGTCTAAGACTGCTCACTACAACAACGGTTGGTCTACAACTGCTCACTACAACAACGGTTGGTCTACACCTGCTCACTACAACATCGGCTGGTCTAAGACCGCTCACTAGAACATCGGCTGGTCTAAGACTGCTCACTACAACAACGGTTGGTCTACCACTGCTCACTACAAAAACGGTTGGTCTATGACTGCTCACTACAACAACGGTTGCCCTGTGACTACTATACTGGCAGTTTGCACACAGCAACCATGTCAACTACAATCACCAATACAGGCCGTTGTAACTGCCAACCAATCAATAAGAGGCTTATCTAACACGAACAAGACACACACACACACAAACATGGTTATATCACGACGCAGACGATATTGGTGAACGCCATTGTGTGAGGAGTGTTGGGGGCTACTCGTCTAGCTGGTCCAGTGATTTGTTGTAGGTTGACTCGTTTAGAAGTATATCGGGTTGAAAAGCAAAAATTAGTTTATCATTGATGTCATCCCCCCCCCCCATACACACACCATCCCACCCCCCCATACACACACATTTCACACACAAACGCTTAGAAGGTTAATTCAATTACGACCAGAAATGTAACCAATTTTTTACCATCTCGAATGACATCATGTACGGCCTACATACCCCCATCCCCTCCTTTCAATGTAACGCCTTGAAACTTTGTTATATAAATACAACCTTGGAAGTCACTATTAACAATATAATGCAAGTAAAAGGCGTAAACTGAATCTCAAATAGGTTCTATACAGATACAGTCAAGAATCCAGCTTCATAATTCATGCGTGTGACCTCTTACCTCCAGTATTTGTGTATCTCCACGGGATCCAAACTGCGCACCTCGAGTCTGCGTTCCTTCTTATTGCGCCCGTTTATCTCCTCCTGCAGCCACTTACGTCTGAGTACCAGAGAAGGTCCTACTAGTGGACTAACCGAAGTTGTCCCCCCTACAAGTGGACTGGCCGATGCTGTCCCCCCTACAAGTGGACTGACCGAAGCTGTCCCCCCTACAAGTGGACTGACCGAAGCTGTCCCCCCTACAAGTGGACTGACCAAAGCTGTCCCCCCTACAAGTGGACTGGCCGATGCTGTCCCCCCTACAAGTAGACTAGCCGAAGCTGTCCCATACTGTTTGTTTTTATACTCGCCTCCTGTGTCCACCCCTCCCATTGTCTGACCACCACCTGACCCGTGGCCACGCCCACTTACACCATCCGCCGATGTCTCGCCTCGATACGACAACTTCACAGACTGACCAGCCGGACCTGTCTTGTATGAGTCAACATCCGGTGCCGTACGATCAGATTGTTTGCTCCTGTGACCCTGCCCACGACGAGATACCGGGGTGGACAAAAGAATCATTTCCGCGGTCAAGCCGCTGGATAATCGTCCATCTTGGTACAGGTATTTGGCGTCTTTTGACGGGCAGACGTGAGACTCGGTGGACGATTTTTTACGCGAGGCACTCTTACCGTCCCTGTAGGTGTGTCTGGTGTCGAAATCTGCGTGATAACGGTTCATCGTCTGCTCGCTGGGGTCTTTCATCTTAGACATTTTTATTTTTAGTCGGCCGGAAATTGAACGTCATTCAAATGGTAGATCCTATCTCCAAATTCCTTCAAATTATAGAATTTAGCTTCGAATTCCTTCACATTATAAACTTAAGCTCCGAATTCCTTCAAATTACAGGCTGTAGCTCCAACATCTTCATATAATAGATATAAGCTCCAAATGTTTATCAGAAATACAAGGCACATATGCGACGCGATTGATTCTTCAAGGCGATGAAAATGTTTAAGCGCCCGTGTTTAACTGCATCAGAAGCTTCGAATACACGCTTGCAAAACTGGTACTTGTATATAAGATCTCACTACTTAAATTATCTTAAATATTAACACACAGCCATATGGACTCCAATAAAACATGAGCCAAAAACAGAATAAAATATGT